TCGGTATCCCATGCAATGTCGGACTAATCACAAACTCTAATGAAAATAAAAAAATGTTATTTATTATAGAAGGTTAGTTTACTACTGTTGTATCGACAAGATAGTGGCTGTACTTCCTCATCATATCTAGTAAAATAAATTGACTGGTAGGGCAGATCACTTCAATAGACTCCGTAATCTGGCAAATGAATTACTCTTAACTGAAGCTGAATTGATCTAATGTTTTGGCCTGATAATAAAAAGTCTTACATTTCATTATCAAAACGTTTTTGTGACTCCTGACGCCAATGAACTAGAAAACAATAACGATATTCAAAGTTGAGAAGAATCTACGTTCAGTTATATTTCCATATGAATACCAGATGTTCATCATAGTATTACACAACTAATATCTATACATGTTATATAATGTCTGTAGTTCAAGTCCAAAATATCTTCGATTTGTTCTTATGACCCTTCTTCGTCCGTGAGAACAGAAGATTTTTGTACATTAAGCCTATATGGCACCAGTGAATAAGAATCTCATTTTTAAAGGTGTTGCAACTGTAGACGGAAGTGGCTGTTTACTTATCTAAAACTGACAATAAGATAACAGATGGCTCGCAGTATTCGAACATTTTGTGCTATTTTAAATTTATCGTTCTGGTAAGTAAGAAATTGTAACAGTGCCAGTAACTAAGTAACTTGAAATCGACTTCAGGATTCTGATCACCCTCTTCTAAATGAACAGATAGCTCACTTATTTTATTATCATGAGAGATTGTCTTCGGACAGATTTAATATAGATCAGGTTCGTATCTCTGTACACGAAAACTAGATTCCGTAGTCTTTCTGTACAAATGTGTAAGCCAAACTTTACTGAAACACTACAATCACATATTTAGGTTAACCAGCCTACCAGACATCTTATTAAGATAGTATGCAGAAGCAATGATATGCGAATTTTCTAGCTTAGTGGCAATCGTGTCGAGATTGACTATGATCATCACTAAATACTAATAACGGACCCGTAACCGAGAAAAAGAATAAATCCAGGGAACAGAATATAATTGCTGGCGATTTCGTGGTATTTAAAGAATATCGAAATCAAACCAGAAAAGACGGGCGAAACTATACAGCTGGCGGAGCAAAGAATTGCAACAACACAAACAGAAATTTGAGCGTAAAGAGTGTGTTATTAAAAAAAGTACAGTTAAATTATCACTGGTACAATTGGTTATAGTAATGAGTGTTTCTAATAAACCAATCGCGTTCTCTTCATAAAAGTATTCCACTACACTAGCATGGTGCCCGTTACTTGCACAGTAATTAGTGTATAAGGCGATGAGAACATAAGCTTATTCATTTAATGCTTCATGCTATCTGTTAAATTAGCTGTTATTCTGAGGATCAAACTGGCAGAATACTGTTGTATACAACTATTTGAGGGAATCCTTTCAATTAAAAGGGAATCAATTCGACCGTTAGGTGAGCTGAGTCTCCTGACACGCTTTAGGAGACTAAAAATAAAAATCAAACGCTTCCGCTTCGTTTCAGTTTGTATCCCCAAGAAATCACCTATGATAACGTCGTTGTTCTACGAATGGAAACATTTTACATAATCTCTTCTGTTGCTAAATCTAAAATTTCGATGTGTACACTGCCTCCACTGCTTATTTTCAGTAATTTCAAGAAATCGAGCACACAATATTCACAAAACACTTAAGGGCAACTTTTAATACATAACTCAATTTATGGTTATCAATTGTCGGTTGAAACGTATATTTAGTTTTATTCTGCCATTCGACCTAGATCTTTGAGATAACAGTCGGGAGGCCACAAAAAACGCACAAAACTGACGGTTGATCTCTATCAACAAACCCTGGCTCATGACACGATGATAATAGCCTCGCCGATTGAACATACTGTACAAACAAAAAACCTGAATAGGCCAGTTTGCACAGAACCGGCAAACTCGGTTTGAAAAACTTGTTTGAAAACCTCGACAATGGCAGTTGCTGCAGAGGTACACCAGGTGTTGAGAAAAACAATTAAGTCACTCTGTAGCAGCGTAAGAGGACTAAGGGGTTAGCTGTAAGAAATCAGGAATATGTGCTCTCACATGGATCTGAAGATCATAATCCTAACTGAATCATGGCTATCCCCTGACACTGCAGACGACAAAGTGGGCTTGCAAGGCATGACACTCTTCCAAAGCGATCGGGTACACCGAATAGGAGGCGGAGTGGTTAAATATATGAACAGCCACTTAAAAGCCCAGAGGCTATACGACACCCAACTAAATGAGGTCACAGAATCATGTTGGTGTTGTTTCCACACAAATGGCACGAATTACTTGATTGGAAGGATTTATAGACCTCCCTCGGGTACTACTAAAGCCCAGAACGACAAACAGATCGAGTCAGTACTGCCGCTGCCACTCCTGGCTCCGATCAAATGCTCTTAGCAGAAGATTTCGATCCCCCATCTCTAAATCTCATTAATCAGGTTGCAGCTACCACTGGTTGGTTCCGAAGACAATTTGGCGCAGCCACTAGAAGCTCTGGGCTTACTGAGCACGTATGTAGTGCCACCAGATGGACTAAGGAAGGAAAGTCCTCAAACCTGAATTATTTGGTAACAAAAGGTAAGCTCCTGGTCGGGGATTTTCATGGCCAAACAACAATAGGAAGTAGTGACCATGGCACAGTCTTGTTTAACATGGTCATAAACGAAACACTCATATAGGGCGAAAACCAGCCCTATCTTTGCCAAAATGAGCGAATTATACGCGTACGAGAGCGATCCTTCTACATGCCCGATGGCCTCTGGAGTGGTGGAGGCTGGTAGCAGATGATCACTGGCAAACAGTGAGAGACATCATCCAAAATGCTGTGGTAGATAATGTACCTCGGTCAAACCACACACCTAGGAATAGAAGAATGTGGGTTAGGCGCAGCACTAAATGCTTGCTACAGGCGAAGAGGAGAGCCTTGCACAAGTGGAAGGTCTCCTTGAAGGATTCTAATCGTAGTTCCATTTAGAAACAGACGATTTCAGATGAAGCTGGCTGTCAAAATACATGCAAACGCGAAGCATCTGTTTAGGTTGAGGACTAAAAGAAAACCTAACAGACAGGGTTTGTGTTTTCTCAAAGGTCCGAATGGGGAAGACCTGACCAACCTAGAGATGGCTGACATCTCCAACACCAACTTCACTGATCTATTAAACAAAGTAGCTACATACACTCACATGACCATAATATGAAAATCTTCAAAGGAGGAGATAGAAAGGACCCAGCCTGTTACTACCAATAATATCAAAGGTAATGGAAGGGCTGGTGGACGAACAATTGAGGGAGTACATGGATGAGACTGAAGTACTCCGTCAAGCTCAACATGGGTTTCGGAAATGCAGGTCGTACGCATCTAATCTTCACATAGCATGGGACAGTTGAACATCCTGCTTGAACCGAAAAATACCGGTGCACGTAATATTTCTCGACTTTGCGAAAGCTCTCAACACAGTACCTCACTCACGCCTAATCGCGACGGTTGCGGAAACGGGCTTCACTGATTCACTCTTTTCTTGGCTCAAAAAGTTTCGTACCAAGGTTGATAGGGTGCGCGTCAGCTGGCTAGTATCCATATCGGGCGTTTCATAGGGGATCATCTTAGGTCCCCTTCTGTTCCTGATATTTATTAACGACCTGTTATGCTCAGTTATCTCAACGGCAGACGATGCGAAGGTCCATTAGAAGCTAAGAGGTTTTGAATGAGCTTCAAAAGGACCTTACATCTATTGAGGTAGTGGCAGTGAAAAACGATTTAAAGCTCAACCAACTGGAGTGTCACATAATGTCACATCATGACGCGAACGAATTACACCCTCAATGGAAGTCCGCGCCTTAATGTCTCCTCAGAGCGCGATCTCTGATTTGTAACCACAGAAAGCCTCCACACGAGGAAGAACTGTATAGTGGACGCAGCCAAGGCAAATGCGACTCTTCACTTTATGCGTAGACAACTTGGTGCTATCACCATAGAATTATTCTTAACATTATTTAAGACATACGCGCGCCCACACCTGGAGGTTCACTATGTCATCGCAACCGCCTTCTTATAAGAGATATAAATCTCTTGGATGGAGTGCAGAGACGAGCAACGAAATCAGAGATAGGGTTGAAAAATAAACCTTACAACGATAGACTCCAGCTCTCGGGATTGTTTCCACTGAGCTACAGGGGAATCAGAGGTGATCTGATTATGGCGTACAAAATATTAAGCACGCCAAACCATCCCAACATGAGCATCTTACCGATGCATCACCATCACTCCCCTCAAGGCAATGCTCGAAAAATTGCGCATCAAAGAGTGGGTACTCAGGTTCGTGCATAATTTTTCCCAATGACGGTCAATGCAAATCGGAATGCTCTCCAAGCCGAGGTGACCACAGACCCTCAGTGGATAGCTTTAAGAGGAAACTTGATAAACGCGTACTCACATAAGGATTATCACCTCCGTCGTGGACAAGCTGTGTCTTTGTGTTGAAACCTGCTGGCTGCCATCACTGCCATCTCCTTAGATCACTAAATTATTCTGTCTCGCCCATTATCCCTATTTTCTCTCCCTTGCTTACATTTCAGTCCTCTCACAATCTTCACTACCAATTAATAAACTAAACCATCTACATATTACTTAGTCCTGAAATCTTATTAGCATTAGAATTTTCTCCTTATTATTTTTAAAATTGCAGCTAACTGATCTCCGATCTTGTAATGTGATAGATGCTGGTATCCAGAATCCATACTACCCTGAAACAAACGTTTTCATTCAAATCACGAGACATACAAACTCACAACCAACTACCCGCTGACTAGCATTAGACAGTCGGGTGGCCAGAGCCTTATTCATTTGACGCTACCGAACAATTGGAACCTTACCGAAAGAACAAGAATCGGGTTTACACTAGTTCCTGAAGATATTGGATATTGAATATTGTCTAACTTGTCTGTTTGCCATGGTTAACCTGTGTTTACTACCGGGAATTTGAAATGGTCGAAGATGCCAAATTTCTGAAAAGGTATGTTCATGTTAATAACGAAACTTTCGAAGAAAAATACGAGCTGGTTCGATTGATGTGCATCCAACAGAAAAAGCGCTTGTTGTGCACTATGAAACAGAGGCTACAATTCTTGGAGAACTCGGTAATCCAATGGTTGGGGATCGCAAGGAGAGTAAAAAAATGTAATGATATACTAAACAGTGTCATTTTAAACATGTAGCATTCGAGTCAGAAATCTAAATGAGAATACGGATATTCCTGAGCTGGCCAAAAAGATTATTGCAAGCTGTAAATTGATATCGGAAAACAAATTTCCACAAGTTGAGCATTTATTAAAGTATTTGCTGAAGCGGAAAGAAACAACGGTAGTTAAAAATCGTAAGTGCTTGATTTTGTACTTGCATCTCATGTCCATTGGTTGGTTTCTTCAGCAAGTAGGCCTTTTGTCGCCATAAAAAAACATTGATCAAGCTTAACCTTGTAAGCATGACGAGGTGGACATTTTCAAGTTTCATTTTAATTATCCTGAAATCTTTTCGTTTGGAAATATTGCAGATTGACAAATTACTCTGGCTTCATATGTTGAATCACCCTCAGCTTAGTGTACGCTATTGAAAAACATTTGTGCTTTTAGATCGTTTATTTAACATCAACTTGAAACAGAGATTATACAGTGAATGGAACGTTTTATTTTGAGTGCAAGACAGTTTTTGGAATATATTCATGCATGAATAACAAGTAGGATGCGTTCCAGTACTAATCCTTATACTTTTAGTTAACCGACAACTGGTAACACGTTGTGTATCACATGAAATAATTAGGTCCACGAGAGTAGTTGACCAAAACTTTCCGCATTACTTTTCTAGTACAGATATCCAGGCCAGTTATTGAATTTTCTCCTTGCTAAAGATTCAAAAAAATATATCAGTCTATATTTTAGGTTTTGAGATAAAAATACAAACTGTGACATTCACAACATAAGACTTACCTAAAGATCACAGATTCGAATAGTAATCTTTAAACAATCATATGCTAAAACAAATAACATTTTCTGGATTAAGGGACTAAAACGTATCTGAATGTGCCATTTACATGCATACGAGTAGGTGGATTTCAAAACATCAATCAATCTTAAGCCATATCATTTGTCACTTCTCTAACAGTTTATTTATTGTGATGTCATGAACGGGAATGATACGTCACTGTTGCAACTTGAAGTAAGTTTAGATTTCTGTTACAGGTAAAGCCATTTGCTGTGACAATATAATAGCTGCTACCTTCTGCATATCATAAAGGTTAAAAACTGTTATAGTTTACCCCAGTTAAACAAGGATTTATATCAAGACTTGTTTATTCACCGACCACTGAATACTGGGATATCAAGAATGATAACGATCAATAAATGATCTGAGTCAACTATCAAATACAACTCACAACTAAACTTTATGTTTCCTTCTTGATATACACCTTCGTGAATATATATAACTAAACTGTAAGCTTTTTACGCTTAGTCCAGTAGTTGGTAGCTTTATAACTACCAAAACTTTTTACGAATGATTTAGGAAGTGATTTAGCAATATAGATTTTGCCTACCATATGAAATTAATTGCTTCATCTTAAATTGAGGAGTCTTAAGTAATGTAAGTTTTTGTTTTGTTCCAACAGATTACAAGGTCTGCATGACCAGACACCGTCTATAACGAGGAAATTTCCTAACAGTTTTTACTGCTAACATTTTAATCAACAGATTCGGACAACCATTGAGTTTCTATATCAATGAAAGCTTCCTAACTATTAATCTGATGCCTATGCCAATAAAACTAATCATTAGATAACTCGATCATAGACCAATTAAATATCATGATTAGTACCATTCCCTAATGCAACTTCTAATGAGTGTTGAGCTTTAATTTTAGTTGGTACTCCTTCACTTTTAGTTTCTAATTTATTTTTGTTAGAAAAACCACCAATAATATCAGAAACACTTGCAGATCCCGGTGCGTTTGATTCCACTGAAATAAATGAAATAGCTCATTTAACTGACCTGGATGACTATTTGGAATTACTCTATGAAAGCATACCAGAAAAACTGCGAGCGTCAGCTCTAATTTTGCAACTTGCGAGAGATCCTGATAACCTAGAGGAGCTGTTTCAAAATGGTCAGTTAAATATTCTTAGTGATTTGTGTTGGTTTTAATCATTCCTCAGATTATTTATTATCTCCAACACTTCAGCAAAAAGACTAAAAGCAATAAACGTGTTTCATATTTCTTGAACGTCTTCGTAATAAGCTTGTTCACGTCGATAATATATAGGATACGGTTTTAAGTCACTGCTCAGTTCTCTACAAAGGAACAATTTGTACCTTCTCATTAAGTAGCTAAAGAGGCAAAATTATTGTTTTTTCAATAGCCGCAATAGTTTGAAAAACCGAACTATGCGCTTCAGAAATGCAACAGAAACTAAGGTTAGTTAGAACCTATAAGCATGTTTCTAAGTAAATGTGATATGGAATCATTAAGCCTAATCTACTTTCAACATATCACAAGTATATTAAGCAAACGTTTGTTAAGTACACGTGAATAATGTTAGAAAGCCAAATTACAGTGATATCAAGATGTGATTGCTTGAGTCCTCTAACCCACTGATACCCTTACCTCTCCAGACTTTTGGATGCATTACTAGAAATATATGATGTATAATACAGCTATCTTACTCCAACTTAGCTGCTAACTTGATATAGTGGTTGGGCTTGCCTATCCTGATGACCCAACTGAACTATATTGAATGGAACTTTTTTTTCTGAAGGTTTTACCATGCCAGGCAGGTTGATTGGAGAACGGTGAGACTAAAACCAGCTACTCAATGGTGAAATAGCACCATGTATGCCTAAACACTGACTGCCTAGTCGAGCTATGCCTTGCGATGTAGGAATAGGTTGGAAAAAAGATAGGGGAGGCCAGATCAAAATATGGCACCATTCCGTGAAGTCACTCACAGAGTGCCATGGCGCAAAACCGTTTATCATGTCGTAGGTGCATTCATTCTTTGTGTTCTCTCAAATCTTAACCTTCTGAATTCCTCATCACCTTTCTCTTTTTAAGTTTACTTCACTAGATTATACTTCTTGAATAATATCTTAGAACCCTTATCCCTCCGATTACTCCTAATACTTCAACTACCTCTACTACTATGGGATGTGAATTGACAAATGCATATCTGTGCTAATGTGGGATGGCAACTTGAACTGATGTATGTAGATACGAACGTCTATGTTGTTGTTGTTGTTGACTGACTAACTGTCAAGGGTTGACAACCAGTATCTTCTGCGATGCTACCTTCTCACAAGGTAGTAAGGGGTTAGGAGAGGTCGACCCTAAAAATGTCATACCTCACCTTGCCTCACGACTTTCCGTTTTCGGCGGTGGGGCCACTTGAAGAGTGGAGCTTACTCATTAAAAACTCTTTAAATGGTCCTACGTGGCCTCAAGCAGTTGTCCCTTGGGCTCTGCAATCACACTCCCAGGTTTCTATGACCAACACTAATCTACCTTCCTTTTCAGGGTCCTTAAGAAACACCCTTCCTCGGTGTGGGCAGCCAGGAAGTGACAACCGCGCTCATATCCTTAACAGCACACGAGACCAAATCAGTCACAATCAAATACTTTCCATAACCCCAACATCTTTTCCATCTCCATGACTAACCTTCCCAACATTCCTTTAGCGCCCCGAGCCGCTAAGTAGGCGAAACGTTATTCCTGGTCTCCTGAAACCACGCTCTGAACTTTTAATGTTCATAACCTGAGTCAAATCGGGATATAGGCTTCAACAGCTAGGATTCTTGAATCCCATGCCATTGATGTGTGTTGCGTCTCCGAAACGCTCAAACAGTATCCTAGTAAAATCACTGATTTGATTTCATCATGTCAAAATAAGGAAGCAGCTCGATTTATTCTCCGTGCATCTGTTTCTGCAACCCGTGGCCTCGCTATTGTGGATATAGCATTTATTCCTGGGGCAGAACTAGCTCTCTTAGACTGCATCCCGGTAGACAGTCGCTTATGCGCGATCTGACTAGACGGGAAAGTAAGAATTTAGAAAGATAGGGAAACTAACCGTTGACTCTTTTTTGTCTCTGCCCATGCTTCCACTGATTGAAGCTCGGACGAAATAAAAGATGAGTTGAACAGAAACCTTTCAGAAATGTTTAGCGCTCTGGTGTAATAATAATGGTTGGTTACTTTAGTGTTCGAGTAAATAGACCTAGTAAAAAAACACCTGGGCGGATCTTATGGTTTCGTTCCTCGAAGATCAGATAATAGTAAACGTCTGTTGCAGCTATGCTCAGATAATCACCTATTCCGAGCAAGCATTAACCTTAAGTATAAGGAAAATCACCTTTTGACCTGGTGACCCCCAAAGTCGTCCCAACGATGTAGAGAGTGATGCCCACTCCGAAGTAGATTCGAATGATATCCAGTAAGCTGAGGAAACATCGGTGCTATCTGCTAGTAAGGTAAATCACCAGGTTGGGGAGAAGCGGTGAGTTTCAGTAGCATATACCGAACTGATAGATGCTCGGAAACTCATCCTGTCTGGCTCTGAGTACCATGAGGAGCGGAGTTAGCTTAGGTGCAGGTTGATACAAAGCCTACGCAATGATCGCGAACAGTGTTATGTAGCGAAGGTAAGAGAGTTGGAAAAGGCAGCGGCGATAGGCAACAGTAGACAACCTTTCAAACTTATCAAAGAAACCGGTATTAGAAATCCAACTGTAAGTGAGACTATCTCGGAAAAGGATGGGACTATTATTCATTCTCAGTCCAGGAGATTGGATCGACGAGCAGGAAACTTTATGAAGCAGTTCAAACGGCTATCAGACACACTTCAGTAACCCACGATCTCCAGTCAACCTGAATGACAAATCGATTAAAGTCTTCCAACTCTTAATGAAGTTGATGAAGCTATAGGAAATCTAAAGTGAGGGAAAGCAGCAGGTCCTAATAGATTGAACACAGAGACTGTTAAAGATAGTGCTCCAGTTTTAGCAGTTAGATTGACTGAGATCTTAGGTTCAATCTGGAAACCAGATCTAATCCCATTTCAATGGTGTTAATCACTGATTGTCCCAGTCTATAAGAAGGGACGAGAGTCTTCCTGTGACAATCACAGAGGAATCAGTTTAACTAATATATCGTCTAAATATTGGCCTTAATAATACTACAGCGCCTAACTACAGCTCATGAATAGCAGACTCGAGAAAGCCAGGCTGGTTCTCGTCCTGAACGTGGCTGTATAAACCAGATATTCACACTACGACAGGTCCTAGAACACAGTCACATATTTCGGCGTCCGACAACTGTCGTCCTCCTGGACCTAAAAGCGGCATTTGACTCTGTCGATAGTGAGGCTCCGTGGCAGTGTCTGTCATCGAAAGGTGTACCAGAGAGGTACGTTAACCTACTGGAACACTACTGGTAGAGTGAGAGCTTATAGTGAACTGTCAACGGAATTTTTTCCTTCAAGTGGTGTCCTTCAGGGATGTCCACTTTCCCCGTTCTTGTCTAACTTTGTCATAGACATGCTTCTAGATTTAACATAATCGTCTGAATGTTCAGGAGTGGACCTTCTACCAGGAGACACGCTTGCTGACTTAAAATATGCCGATGACATAGTTCTACTTGGTGAAGACTCTGACAAAATGCAGAGTATTTTGACCAACCTAAGCAACAATGTGATCATGTTTGGAATGAGGTTTCCCCCTTCGAAATGCAAAAAGCTGCTTCGAGATTGGCTTGCGTCGGCACCTGAACTAGTGATAGGGAGTGAAGCAGTTGAACGTGTCGGCAACTAACCAAAGAACGAGTCTACTGTGCAGCAGTTCACTCCGTCCTACTTTTTTGCCGTGAAACATGGCCATTCAGATTAGCAGATATTCATACGTTACTCGTTTTTGATCACAGAACTGTCCAAAGCATTGTTCGTCTATCTTGCGACAGTCGAGCAAGGATTGCAGTTGTTAGGAAACAGGTATTAGATAAGGATGGCAGATCAGTAGATGAAGTATTGAAACTTCATCAGTTGAGGTGGTTGGGACATGTGTTACGTATGGCTAACCACCGATCGTCTCGTTGAGCTACGTTTCGTAGTGTAGGAGCAGGTAGGAAAAAAGATAGGGGTGGCCAAATCAAAACATGGCACAAGTCACTGACAACTGGATTGAGTCATGTTGGTAAGTGTAGACAACCTGGTTGGGACTCGCGGGATGATAGTAATCGATGGTTAGAGACCTTGAATGATATAGTTCAAAACCGTTTGCAATGGGACAGGTGCATCCATTCTTCGTGTTCTCTGAAATTGTAATCTTCCAAATTCCTCACCACATGTATCTTTATATTTCCAGATTTATCTCTCTTGACTATACTTCTTGAATAATATCTTCGAACCGTAATCTCTCCGTTTACTGCTCATACTTCTACTACCTCTACTACTATGTGATTTGAATCGACAATTGCGTCTCTGTGCTCATGTGTTGTAGCTGCGATCGGGTCGCGGTTGACTACGATCACCACCACAACAATTATGAACCTGTGACTGAGAAGAAGGGTTATTCCATAGTAAAGAATATGTTTGCTGGCGATTTCGTGGTATCGAAAGAATACCGATATCGCGCCAGAAACGTGAGGCGAAATAACAGAGATGGTGGAGCGAAAATGGCAGCAACACAAACACTTAATTTGCGCGTAAAGAGTGTTATAAACAAAAAGTACAGTTAAACAATCACTGATAAAATTGGTCATAATAATGAATGTTTCTGTTAAACCAATCGCGTTCTCTTCATGAAGGTACGCCACTACAGTGGTATGATAACTTGAACTGATGTTCATACATACGAAGTTCCACGTTGTAACTGACTGACTGGCTTAGCTATCTTATTCAAATTATCTGCCTACTTTACTTATAGCCTAGTATTTAGTGATAATATTATATTTGAGTAGTCCTTTTATATAAAATATTTATTATTAAGACCCTGAAGATTCTATTTCTATATTCTACTTATTTTATCCTTCATCAAAAATCATGGCTAAGAACATACAGAACTACTCCTTAAATTATTATCACTCGTTTTCAAATAAATGTGTAGCCAGTTTCACATGGCATATAAACATTTTCTGTTCATCTCAAAATACCAATTCATTAGGTTAGAAGTAACTTTTCGAATGTGTTGAGGTTACTAGGTCTAGGTAGTTTATCTTTGAGAATCAGATCATCATTGGATTTAACCGAATTTACTTAAGGGTCCGATTATTTATTTCTATGACCTGTTTTAATGTATGTGGTTTAGTCAGCTTACCAAACAGACAATACATCTATTTACGATTTAATGACTTTTATCTCGTTTTTGATTCAAATAATTTATTCATAGAAACCCTTGTTGGTGCTTTGGCAAGAGTTCTTCGTGAAGATTGGAAAAAAAGTACAGATCTAGCAACTAATATAACCTACATATTCTTCTGTTTTTCTTCCTTTTCAAATTTTCATGGGGTAATATTACATTTCAAAATTGGTAGGTTTATTTAAATCTATATGTTCCGTTCTGATACTCTTTTTGTGTTCGCAACACTTATTTTTGGGAGGAATGGTGTTGTTTGCATTTTCATTGTAATTGTACAATATATATATATCTCGAAATGCTCGGTCCATTAATTAATGATCATTCCTGCACCACCAGATAGATGGGTCATATTTACTCTATAAAATTTAAATGAGGTTTGTTTAACATTTTGTAGTCCACAAAGGGAATTTCACTGCCAAAGGAACTAATGGACATTCTTTCATCTATGACTGAGAACCTGAGATTAATTGATATAGGTCTGAGTTCCTACTCCTCGTAAATGTACATTTGTAGGGGTAATTAGAAAGAAAATTGCAGTGGGCGGCAAAATCAAAGCATTCATTTTGGCAGAACATGTGAAGTATAATAGAAAAAAATTGAGTTCGGCTTAAGAATCAAGTGTATAAATTAAAACGAAATCAAAGATTCAAGACAAGATAATTGGTGAATGCACCGACGTCAGTGTGATGAGTTTCAGTCCATGTCTGGCATCGTCTGTAACGATAGGCTGTGATGATCAAGAGGGTCCTAACAATTATAAATCAGAAACATCCTAGGCTGGTGTTATATTTCCATCAGAATCTTCAAAATTCCTTATGATGTACTCTTAGGTCAGCTTGTACCACTTGTCATGGTAGGTAGTCAAAAGATATGCTTGTAACATGTCTTGACCCCCTTTGTCATGATTGTGATTTTTCATGACACTACCCATTCTTCTGTCCCACAAGAAGTACACTATTAAATACTTGTAACCCATGCATATTCCTTAATCTCACAGTCTACATCTCATGTCCCGAAATAGCACGGGACAGTTTACTAGCTTTTTGGTAGATAGACACATTTCACCCGCTCTGCAATATTCATTCTGCATATAAATATCTCATCCTAGTCACAACCGTTCTACTCAGAGATGTGTGTCAACAAATGACTGCTGCTTGGAAACATCTGACCTCGTTATTAGCAGTTTAGTTACTCTTGTGGAGAGGGTTTTGCCGTTTGTCTAGATTGTGTTCATTACATATGTATCTTCGAATACTGTTGCATACAGTTGCCATATGTGAATATAAGAAGATAAATAGCTACCCAGTTAGACTAGCCGGTTCAAAAGGACCACTAATCAAAAATCCATCCATGAGAAGAGACTCCTAAAGTCCATCAAATCAGGCCAAATATCCGTGTTAAAAGTAGGACTGAGATCGCTCACCTTACTACTGAACTTTATTATTATCAGTTGTAGTAACTATTGACATCTGTTTGCAATTTTGCATTTGTCAAAAGGATAACCGCGCTTACTTTTGTTCTGTAACCTAATTCCACCTTAGATAAATCACTTCTAAATGTTATAGGCATATGTTTGTTATGAGTAGTAATTTTTGATGTAATTTTCAATATTTTCATGGAGAATAAGTCTATCGAGACTTACTCGCGAAACATGAATTATATCATGTCTTAAATATTGTTAAGTTATCTAAGGTAGTTCCGTTTTAAAGTAATTAGCAAAATCTTTCAACGATAAGAAGCAGTTCTGTTTGTGTAAAATTGTTATCTATCAAACAAGAAATTTCATCACTATAAACATTTTCCAATGACATTTTAAACTAAACAAATCTTTATCCCCAACTTTACTAAAATCATTTTCGTTCAAGGTGCATTAGTGATGACAATTATTGATCATGAATTAAAGAAATATGATTTGTGGGTTGAAGAACAAGATAGAAAACAAAAATTATCAAACAATAAATCTGAGACAAGTTTAACAACGGATGGCAAATGTTTGATAGATGAAGCACAAAATAATTATGAGACAAGCCTTTCGAAGTATAAATCATTAGTCAGGAAACAAGAACAATTGTTTAGAGGTAAGTTACCAACTGGGTAGAGTTATTAAATTCATATTTATTTCATGCTGATATACAGACAAATGAGACATACGAGGCTATTATCATCAAGTTCAATTTGAAATGGTTTGGATCAATCCAGTTGTTGATATTTTGACTAAAATTTGATCAGTCTTTGTTGGCATCCTATTCGGATTGCCTTGATACAGCCATTATGACGTAAATTTATATCAATTGGATAGAATATGGCTACCAGTAGATTTGAAGACGTGCATTTCGTCTCACTTGGCACTCGTCAGCCAAATTCTATCCTTTCCTCATATTTCATCAAGGCTTATTTTGATTGGATCATGATGGTGAGACGGTTAAAAAATGTTTTCATAATCTAAAATTTACTCAATGTACTATGGCAGATTCTTTTAGTTTTCGTGTCTAGCATTTTATCGCGAGAAATAGATCAATAATTTGTTTTAATAATATTTATAAATGTTAATTAACACAATAATCACTTACTGATATAGTAACGAAATTAGATGTCTACTGAACAAACACAAGTGACGACAGACATATTAAGTAACATGCAGACCTAATATGTTGATCTTAAATTTCAACGAAATTTTAAAGTTTAAATGTTCACTAATATCTGCAATATAGCCTTAACTGTAATAACTGTATGTAAATTCCACTTAATGAGCTGCAAAAGTTATTTTATTAGTTTCTGTTGATATATGAAATCCTTGTGTGTGTGCGAATAAATACTAAATGCAGTTACTGCTGGGTTATGGTTATGTTATAAATCTAGTAGATGCTTTTCATTGGACTCAAACTTTTTTGACGGCAATGGTACATATTTATGCAGAAATTTGCTGAGTTCAGATAACCACCTTGTTTCAGTAAGAATTAATTACAAGAGATCAATGTGCATTAAAATTTTTTCTCTTGAAAAGAATTTGATTGTGCCATTATCTCAAGTAAGATTGATTCATCAGTTAACATTGAGTGAAATTATTCCTAAAAAACATCTCCAGTGGGTACTGTGACAAACAAAGTGCAACTTTCATTGTCGACTATCTCTAATCACCTAATATCAAAATTTTCCACTGTAAATCATATATATATATATATATATATATATATATATATATATATCGTAGACTAGATTTTGGATTCCTAATAGTTAAGTTTACGTTGTGCTTGTATTTATACATAATAGAAAGTAGAAAGCTCTAATCTTATAACCACTGTAATATTCTGTTTAAAGTATTACTTTAGCGAGAAGTTATTGGATTTCATCGTACTATCAACTAAGAATTATCCTTGGAATCCTTCCCTTATCGGACGCTAAGTAAATTTGTGCCATTAATTCCGAAAACAATAAAATCTAGAAAAGTTTATTGTGGACTACTAGAATCACTGCATCAAGAGTGGATTATTAATTCAAGCGATTTTAATTTTTAGATATGTTTCATTATGAAAAGAGTTATTTATGATTTATAGACAACTGACGATTCTGTATTTCCTAAAATATTTCTAAAGTAAGATATTGGCTAAGTTTACACTTTATGCTGCGAAGATTTACGTAGATATATTAAATAATAGACATGTAGAACAAAATTTCATCAATTGATTAAATATAAGACCGATCTTTTTAGCTTTCAGTTAAGGAAAGGTTTTCAGAAGCACTCGAGATAATAACTAGACTTTAAATCAGACATCTCTGTTGAGTTAATTTAGTGATGCATATAAAATCCCAAATAAAAATACGAAATTCGCATGCACTATGGTACTACAATTAGTGACGGCATATAAGTAATACTTTTTTTAAATTATCAGTTTGTGAAATTCATAAAGTGTTTACCTTATCGATGCACAGTCAAATACAAAGTGTTACATTCATCAGTTACGTTAGAATCACAATGGTAGTCAACGACTGAAACAAGAACTAAGGACACAAATAAATAAATGCTAAGCGAAAGTACAGGAAGTGAAGATAACTATTAACAGTTTCAAGAAGATACACTTATAGTTATAAATGCATTAAATGTCACTGATTCATGGAAATATTCAGAAATATTACAAACAACAGTGGAACGTTATTGAATATTAGTAAGTAAAATCATACACAAAGGAGAAATGAGTAGGAAACAACTGAACAATACATGGGATGCAAAGGTCAGTCAGGAGCACTTTCCAAGTATCTTGTGGCCAAATCCCGGTTAGTGAAAAACCTACTTTGTGGTGAGCACATTTATTCAAGTTGTATAACTGATCAATAATATCATTGAAAGTTTTCGTTAGAAAATAATTTCCAGCTGTATTATTTGTTTTCTTTCTTTTGGTATTTTATAGTTTCATTTTATTTACTGCTGAATATCAGTGAAGACCTTAGTGTTGAAATTAAAATGCACAAGGAAGGAATAGTCAACATGATTTGTAGATGCTTGAACAGAGATAATTTTGAACTGTTAATATTGCTTGTCTCATTTTTGAAAAAGTTGAGTATATTCTCAGAGAACAAAGATGAAATGGTGAGCAATAATTCGATCATAAATTTGATTTTTATTCAGCTAGAATCACCGAATGTAAATCAACTTTAAAGCCTAACAATCAAGCTATTTCAGATAGTCTATAACTTAACATTATTCACTAGTTCAAGGAATCATAATTGTTTATATCACATGGACGGCAACCCTTACATAAGTATGTGGTGACAGAGATCTCAATGAAATACCAGGCTTATTGGTAACACTATAAATTAATACATTAAACAAACTTGTGTCATCATTACTGTACATCGATTTTTGTAACCTTAAAAGAGACGACTTTCCAAAGTTAGGTCTCAAATGTATTACTTCAGTCTGCGTATAAAATGTGTTCTAAAGAAAATAATATATAATAAATATGGATAAGTATGTAGTGAAGGAGAACACAGGCGGGGCAACCGAATTGTATTTAACGAAAATTACAGAGTTACTCAGTAAAATAGGAAAACCATATCGTAAACGGTTAATTTGCAAATCTTCAATCAATCATCGATCCATTGTCTGACATTTCACTTATTCATGCGTTTCATACAAATTCCATTGTGTTCCCACTCCTCCATTCTTGATCTTCCGCCATCTTCTGCTGCCAGACATTACGTTTACACTCACGTCATATACTACTTATAAGTAGCGCGCACCACAAGTATATGTAATACAATATTAATTATGTTTGTTAGTAACTTTAATAATCCGGAATATATGCTTGACAACAGAAAACTATCACTGAAAATAAACTACGGATCACTGCGACACTGACAAGTTCTTATTCAGCTATTCTACTAATTATTATTTACACCATCAACTGTTTAATAGACCAATCCAAACTATTTAAAAGCCATGCACACACCAGAAGTCTGGATATATAAAACTCGATGAGAGCTCTTAAAATATGTTCTGACAAACTTTTTAAATGTTATAGCTGTTTTTCGGAAGTGGTCTAACAATAATCGACTCATGATTTCAAAGTAACTCAAACCCAATAATCCCCCAATGCAAATAATTGTATTTGAGCAAAATATTGTCAGCCATAAATCTAAATTGAGTAACGAATATGTAACATAAACTTAAAGTTACCTTTTAAGCTGTTATAATACTTGCTGTGTATTTGAAATCATAACATTGAAAATTTTCGAAGTTATGTGAGGTACTACAGTCAAAATTTCTGTTTATCTTTTGAACAGTTATTACACTGTTTGAAAGTCACTATTAGGGTTCAAAACATGGCCCCCAGAGGTGGGAGGCATACGTCGACCAAAGTGTTCAGCCACAGAAATCCTTTAGATATTGACCGCTTATAGTGAAATTCAAGTGTAATTTGTACTTGTGGATAAACGTGCCAAAAACATGAACATGATATTGCTCTCTTTTAACCTTCATTTTCTGAGATTGTCAAGACTCATTTTTAGCCTAATGTAGCTATCGCTGGTCTCGATGAACTACTCTAGCTACTTGTTATAACTCTCTCTTAATAAAACTCAGATATTCCTATTGCTTAGTATTCTCTCACAACAATGCATTCTACAAGTCCCCAAATCAGAACACGGTTGAACAGGAAAGAGATTACATTCCGAATAGCAGGGTTAAATGAAAGTAAGAAGCCGAAGCGAAATAGAAACAACGTTAGTATCTCTAAAGTTTTAGCATAAGAAGCTTCTGGAATCTAACCCACGTGACTGACTAGCGGTGCCGGATTAAATTTAGCCAATCAGCGTGCAGCTAACAACTCGAGAATTTTCTAGACTGCTCTTCAAGTATCGACCAGGCGCTGATTGGATAGGAAATTAGCCAATCAGCGCTCATCCAACACAGTCATGCTTTATTCCATCTGTGTCCCACTAACACCTCCTCTTTGAACAGATTCGTAGGATCTGGTGCTAGAGTCCAACTGCTTCCTGCGTGCCTTGACACCCGTAGTATTACGAGCCGCCTGCTATGTAGGATCCATATCTGTGAACAACCGTCGATTGGACTGCTTCTACACTGATAAGTTTTGTTGAGGCTCAAAAGCGGCATATGGTACAGGACGTCTCGGATGTAAAATAGGCTTGGCACCTGATTTCACTGGTAAGTGAGCTTCCATCTTGGTACAGTGTCCAATGCTATTCTGAAAAAAAGAGGCTGACTCTCTCTTCAGTTTATATTGTAAATTTTCACCTGTCTTCTTTGTAAGTCTTGGGGTGTCCAATGATGAATAGGATACTCTGCAGGCACTTAATGGATAAATCCATCATTCCCAGTTTTTCCAGCATATTTAGACCTAGAAGATCAAGGTTTGGCCGTTCTGTCAGATAAGATATTCCTGTACATTTTATTCCATGCAAGGAAAATTCACACTGCAACTCACTAACCAGTTTTAACACACCACCTGAAGCGCTTTTAGCCGTTTTCTTAGATGGCTTCATTGGTGGTTTCCTCAGCAAGTTATACGTTTCTCTAGACACTAAAGTGATATCTGATGCTGTCGATTTGAGAAAAAGCTGATGTGCCGTTTATCTGGATAGTAACATACTTTCTCCAAACGTCAGAGTCTGTTTGAAAAGCAACTACCAGAGAAAGAGATTTAGACTCGGCTAATTTCACCAAATGTCGAGTACGTTACTGCTTCTTCCTGGACTGAGAAGTACGATTCAGTCTACAATAGCCTTATTTATGTCCACATTTGTTGCACATCTGACATATATGTTTCTTAAATGGACAGAATCGTACATAATGCCGGTCTCCACAAAACCAACATGTCGTCGTCTGTTTGTTACGAGTTGTTATCGGTCTCTGAACTTTTAACCTAGTAATAGCATTGACACTACCGCTGGTTAAATTAGGATTTACCTGTTCAATCAACATGTCGTGTCTGATACTTTATAGTCGTTTACACTCATCTGTCAATGTTCTGAGTGTGACTTTCGGGTCTTGATCCAGTCGAGTTAAAAGTCTAGTCCTGATCTCAGCGTCTTGCGGTGACTGAAGAGCTTCGATGAGTGAATATTAAGCTTATAAATTGGTCTTCTGTCAACGAGCATAACTTGAACCGTTCACTTGCTCTGTTGACGATGTCTACTAGGACCTCATATTTATCGATTTTGTGTTTCACCAGATCTAGACACTGATATCGAATACTAAACAATGAGGATGATTCACCGAATATCTCTGAGAGTTGAATTAGCATCTCCTCGAAACTTAGCTCTCAAGGTAACTTTGGTAATATATGGTCCACATAACGAGCATGTTCATTGCTTCCCAACTTACGTGCCCACCCAACACCGAAGTAGCACCTACAGACCTCCCTATAAATGTTGATCCACCAACAATCGGAGAAATCAGCATAACTATCATACAGAGCGAGAGTGGAAAAGCAGAAGGACCAGACAGCGTACCAGCTGAGGCTTTGCGTTTTCAAGTTACACTAAACGATGTTCACTTGTTAAATGAAACTATGAACTGTCCACATTTATGTCATGGCCTACATTGTTTATTGTTGTATGTCGAAAATGTCACTGATTTATTGTCTATTTCGATGATAATTCTTTTCCACTTGATGAAACGTCTTAAAATTAAGAATGAATTAACTTTATTTTGTTGTTTCTTGTCTTATTTAAAATTCATTTGAATCGTTTATTGTCTGCAGCAGTTCTTGTTAATATTAAACATGTATCGAATATGATGCTTTTTGATTGATCAATCAATGGTGTATTTGATGATCACACAAACTTTTAAATTCTTTTAATTGCATTTCAGTTGAAAAATGGTATAATTGACAAATTATGCGAAATGTTATGCAGACCAGAAGAGGATCTCGTTAATTTATGTTTACGTTTGTTATATAACCTTAGTTTTGACACATCGGCTAGACTACAAATGGTGTCCAAAGGTGTTCTAAATAAAGTTGCAAGTTTATTAGGTGAGTTAATGGGTCGATTTATATTTTCAGTTATTAGTGATTATTTAAATTTATCCATAATTATACTCAAAGTAAAGTTTAATCATATGTCATCGCTACTTCTTAATGACATACGCACATCTTCGTCTCCTTTAAGATCACAGATCATCAATGAAAGTCATTGGTTTCATTACCTAAGCAGCTGCATTATCGAAACATTTAATCTGAACATTAAAAGAAAAGAAATTTGCGGCACGAAAAGTCCACATAATTTAGATTTACAAGCTCATATTTTTTCGGGATGTTTTCAATTCTTTACTGTTACCTCGGTATATTTTCGGATAAACATACTGTAAATGAATTTCCATTATTCTCAAGATGGGATAAACTTATTTACTATCTGACTAGTCGTTAGTGCAAAACTGTGTTCTACACGTTCGTAATAATAAGGCGATTCACTGTGCTCTACACAACTTGAGATAAACCAAAATATGTGCCTTATCAATACTGACAATCAACATCTTGAATAGTCTGTTTTCTCATTGGACTCGCGATGTGTAATGTCAAACCGGAAAATAATCTCACAAGCAAACATCCGTACCGGAGTGTAAATATCTCAGTGCTAGGTCCTTGAATAGTTTGCTACCAATACACAAGAAGTAATTTTTGTCTCATCCAAGTTTGAAGGCCTTGAAGTGATGGTTAACCCTGAGAGTTAACGGCAGGTAGTTCGGTTATGACTAAGCAGCCTTGGCAGAGGAAAATAAACTATTCTATCACCTGATAGGCTAGTAAGCGAGAGAGAGAAAATTATGGTCGACTGGGATACAACTCTACATATTCCTGATTCGATTTACCAAAAAGAAGACATGAATAAACATACACTTCATATGACCAAAACGAATAAAGATATAGAAAAACACAGTTATGCCCAAACTTTCTGTTTAGGTTAGAAAAATAAAGTATAGGGATTATGTCCAAGTGTACAGTAACTCTCAGATAAAGGTGTATGACAATGAATCATGCATCGACCGAAAGCTTAAGGCTTACGGAAAAAGACAAAAATAAAAATAAATGCTAGTCTTCAGAAGGCTTTGAACTAGGTACAATAATGTCTCAAAAATAAGTTTTCATTGTCACTGTTTCTTGTTTCCATCTTCATAGCATTCAGATTTCAGAAAATCCAAGACATGTAGATCTGTGGTGGCCAATTTCGACGTGTTCTTAAGCTTCGTGATTAGCTCGTCTAAATAGCGTCTGACGGTTTATAAATCAGGTGAACTTGAAGTGTTGAATACGTTTATTTTTGGCACATCACAAATAGAACAGCAGACTACAATCGCTAGAAGATAAAATCGTCATGCGAGCTCTGGAAAGCAAGCAAGCGAGTGAACAATTGAATGAACGGGTGAAGCGATGTGGAGAATACTCGTGAGCCAAGTCTCAGAGATAATGCATGACTAAGAATTTATAGTCAGACAATAATAAGACAGACATGTAGTAAGCGAAATAGATATGCACACACATGAATAAAAGCGACGAATGGTTGACAAGGTCAAAGGACAAGTGCGACAAGTCACGTGAGCTCATACAAACCAGACAACAGTAAGAACGATTGGTGCATATAAATCGTTGCTATAAAAATGGCTCGGTTAAATAAGTTATTCAAAAGGGCTTAACCAAATTAAATGTAAGCGAACCCGAATATATGTGGAGGCACTACAGATCAATGGTAATAGGTCTATATGCATCCCTTTTTCCAGTAGCTGATAATTAGGATTGCGTAATTACTTGATAAATTTGAGTGCTCTAGAGTTTTACTGTTAGTTATCAAACATTTATGAGCAGCATTGAAACCATAGATTCACATTGGTTAAAAATCTTGCAAACCCTAAAGAATAAAATTTGCTTACCAATCAGTCTCACTCTACTTCTTAATGAGCTATTTTCCTACCCTTCTATGAAACTAAAATTTATGACAAGAACAGTGTTTGTACTTCGAAATCGTCTTATCTGTTATTTATCTGACTTTTGGGATAAAGGTAAGAATATATTTGTTTAAAAAGTTGGGATATATCCAGAAACTACTAACTTTAATTAGGAAACAAAATTCTTGAAGTGTTGAGAAGAATAACTTGGGATAAAATGAAGAGTTTAATTGTTCAGAGTCAATTTACCTGTAAACAGTGGCAGAAGTTTAAGTTACACGTTTGGTAATTCCACCTTACTTGATGACTGCTCTGAATATCCCTATCATAAAATATTTGTTCATTCATTGTTATATTTGACCTCAACTTCTGTTTCACAAGGGAACTACTTTATATTTCATAAGAACCAGTGCCATAAATATGATTGAGAGATATTTTATGTGTTTTTGTTACTATCTTGTCCCTCTAATGTTACAGCGAAATCCACATATCTGGGGTAGTCAACACACTCAATAAGTAAATGCTTTTGTAACTTAGGTTTTGCTCAAGTATTATCTTATAGTTGACAAATGTCTAACATCTTACGTGCTTGTGAATTTTGATTGAGATTATTTTATAACATTTCCTGTCACTATCTCCTAACAGTTCTATGTTATCTACCAAAAAATTTTACGGCTGAGAAATTATTTTTTTTACAAGCTGGAGATAAGCGGTCCTCTAAGTCCGTACCTTTATCGCATAAATTGTTCGAAATGATGAATCGTTTTGTAAGATAATTGAAATGCAGGATGATTTTATCAGTTTACAATGCACAAACAGACAAAATATTCATAATTCAGTTCTCACAGTTTATTGAAACTTAATGCATTGATGTGGTATTATCTTTGCTCTGATCATGTTATCGACTTGTAAAAGTTTTTTATGATAAGGTAAAGAAAGTTCTTCCTTGATTTTGATCGTTTTACGAACTATGTTTTAGTAGTTTCATAACACTAACATCTAACGTGTCATTTGTTGATTCTGCTATCTACCCACTAGCCGTAGTAGAACAGAATACAATACTAGAGTATATTTTAGCTTATTATATTTAATAAATTATCAGAGTTTTTTCCCCCTATTAAGAAAATACTCAACATCAGCCAGTGGCTTTGTACATACTATATCATCTAACCACAGAAGCCCAATCAAGACCAGAGTTTGTCAATACACAATGTTTACCATTTGTAAGTTGGTATTTTTTATTTGACATTTAACCAATTATTATAACATTGAATTCTAAACCTATTCATGATAATTTGCTTCACTATTTTACTATTCAACGAAAAGTTTTATTAACTTTCGATTGGCGAAGCAAAAATGCTTGTCATTATTACGGCTAAGTTTGAAATATTAATCTGGATGATTTTCCATCTCAATTTGTTGATACTCAAATGTATAGTATATCATTCTAAAATATAATAATTTACAGACCGACTTACTGGGTCATGTCAGATGCTAAAATGACACTGGTAAGCAAGTAGTTCTAGACAACGAAGATAGACTAGTTCAAAAAGATTTAAGGTCAGTTACTAGTTGAATTTAAATATCTCAGATGAGCGATAGGGATCAAAGCTACATCCGACTACTGAAAGTCGAAATTGATTGAACCGTTAGTTTTCGGATTTACTGAATACTAATTTGATCCTGAAACTGAACTGTAAATTTTCTATTTGGAACGTCTTGAGTTCCGGAAATCACTATTTCTAGGTGCGAAATGATGTCGTTTGAAGGAGTCGTATCTTTATTTCTCATCAAACATTGAACATTTGATTTCTTCCCATCCGTTTACCTTATAGTCGTTCATATTTTTCTCACATGGACTGTTTTCCTACTAACTTTGATTGTGAGTCATTTCAAAGAATGTTACCTCAAACCACGATGAGGCATTATGTTTCATATTGACAATTTTTCCTTTTTGTATGCTTGTCTACTTGTGATATTTACAATGAGCATCTTCCATCGATTTCATTGATTCGTAAAATTTATTTAGTTCTACAAAAAAATATGTTTGTTTAATGATGAGCTCTGATTATAATTATAAAACACTGCTTGAATAAAACATGATCATCTTTTATATTTACAGGCTACATAAATAGACATTGAATTTCTTCTTACATTTAGCTTAAGAAGTTAATACTGGAAAGTCCTGAAGAGAAATCTGATATAATTCCAATGGCTCTAGGTATCAACTTAGTATTAGATAGTCAGTGTGCAAATGCTATGCTTGGTGAAGGTCGATGTTTTAAGTTGATGAGTAAACGTGCAATAAAATTCCACGACCAGTTAATTATGAAGTTACTACGTAATGCAATACAGAACAGTGATTTATTAAAACTGAAGATGGTTGTAAGTTAATGAAGATTTTATTGTTTTTGTAACTTTAAATGTACATTTTGTGGAGATAAGGTTTCTTTATCCATTTATTTGCTAAATGATGTAATAATACCAAATTTCCCTAAAACCATATCATCATTAGTTGTTTTTGTTGAGCAAATTGTGAAACTGCAGACTTCAGAAGTGATGTATGTCGGATGGCGACTGCCAAATCCTAATCCTGTTGTATTTTCCTTAATTGGATCAATAGGTACAATGTCACCGATAGGAATTCGATTTCTAATTTACTAATAACAGTATGCTTTTTGCCTACAGAACTGCGGTCATATATGTAACCAACAGTTATTCACTCGGGTTCACAACAGTAAGCCTTGAGAAGTGATCGATTCGATCTTGACGTGTGTTTGCCCAATGCACAATCTTTTATGTTTACCCCACTATTCACTGTAAAGTACAAACACAACAAATAAGAAAAATATTTTTTTTGTTTTTATTTAGTCATAATAACCAAAACATTCTAAAACCATTAGATGGGAATCAGGAAAAATTAGCGAAATTTATATATTCTTCTCAATTGAACCGCGTTGGCTACAATATGCTTTAGTAGCCTTTCACAGACAATCTATCTTTTAAAAATCTAGAGTAAATTCATGTTTTAGCACATGACCATGGTTGTGGAGTAGTGGATATACAATAATAAAGAACCCCATAACAAAATGAAACAGCTATCTAGTGTCTTCTGATTTTCAATGTTTATTTAACTAAGATCACTGAGTTAACTATGGAATTCAAAACTTTTCTCCCAAAATCTTTATGGTACTTGACCAAAGAGGTAGCTACTTGATTCTTACATAAATATTTATTAACAGGTAAAGCATTTCAACATTCAGTTAGTTACCTAGTCAGCTACAACATAGAACTTGGTACGTATGTACATCAGTTCAAGTTTCCATACCACATTAGCATAGAGATTGAATCTTCAAGCCGAATCGCATAGTAGTACATGAAGTATCAGTATACGCGGTAATGGAAAAAATTGGGCATCGAAGACATGGTTCGAGAAGTATAATCCAGTGAGACAAATTTAAAAAAGAAAAAGCAAAGGTGATGAGGAATTCAGAAAATCAGAATTCGCTTGGGCCATTGCAAGCGATTTTGAGCAATATCATTTTAAGTCTCTAATCGCTGATTATTATTGTCTCTTGTACCCGAATCAAGTAGCCTATAACTAGTAATATGGGTCAGTTCAGGTGTAAAGGATTTCATGGATTTGTATCATGTTTTGGTTTGGCCGACCCTATCTTTCTTCCAGCCTACTTCCGTGGCAGACAACATTACTCGTCGACGTAGCCGGTGGTTAGGCATACGTAACACATGACCCAACCACCTCAACCGATGAAGGTTCACTACTTCAATAGTTGATCTGCGTCGTTACCTAGTACCCTCTTCCTAACAAGGAATTGCTTACTCGGTGGTCCCAGGATAAACAAGCGGTGCTTCAGAGACACTGATGATCAAGAACTAGTAACCTACGAATATCCTCACTCATTATTAGTGGCTGCGTTTCACTCCATTATAGTAGGATGGAAAGAATGGGGGAACAGTAAACTCGTCCTTTGGTTGGCAGACGGATATCTCGCCCACTCCATAAGTGAGGCGAGTTGGCAAATGTCAGTCGAGCCTTCTGTATCCACGAGACTTCGTTACATATCAGGCCATCAGGATTGTTGAGACTCCCAAGATGAGTGAAGGGGTCAACACGATCAAAAACTTTACTCACTTTGACTAGTTTAGGTGCCGACCGAAACCGATCTTGAAGCAACATTTTGCATTTTGACGGGAGAAACTCATCCCGAACATAATTTCATTGATGCTTAAGGTGGTAAGAAGACACTGCATTATGTCAGCGTCTTCACCAAACAGAACTATGTCATCAGCAAGTCATCTGCCATTCAACCAGAATCTCCCGGTAAGAGTTCAGCTTCTGAAAATTCAGATGAGGCAAGTGTCATCCCTAAAAGCATGCCAACGATGTGGCTGAATGTGAATAAAGAAAGCGGACATCCCTGAAGAACACCACTTGAAGTAATCAATCCTGATAAGCGTTCGCCATAAGCTCTAACTCGAACTGTAGTGTTCGAGTAGAGAGCTTTTATAAGGTTTACGTACCTCTATGGTACATTTTTCATTGACAGACACCGATATAGAATCTCACGATCGAACAAGTCAAATGCCACCTTAAGGTCGAAGTATGCAACTATTATTGAACGTCTCAAAGCCTGTTTATGTTCTAGGACCTAATGAATTGTGAATATCTGATCTATACATCTACGTCCAGGTCTGAAACCAACCTGATTTTTTCGAGTCAGCTATTCATGAGCTGCTGCTTATGTTTTTCATCAGTCAAATTTTGAAGTGCGTTTAATTCAAAAACCGAGAAGTCTCAATCTTATGAACAGTATTCTTGCGTAGCTTTTCATAAGAGAAGTTTCTTAGCTGCAAAATACCAAAAACAGGAGCTCTATGACTACAGAGGATTGTTTCTTAAATTAGATTACCAAAAACATCTTATGAATATATCCTCATAGTAATTTAAGCCTTTTTATTAATAACTGCTTTTTACAGTTTTTGCTTACTCTTTTCAACCGATTTTGAAGGATTTTCTGCCAGAATTAATAAAAGTCGTAACTGAAGAGAAACCTTTCGAAATGACTACACCAAGAAATCTTTATCCTTCTGCAAAATCAACTCGACGTAATGATGTGAATGTAGATAGTAAAAAGCAGTTGACCAATGAAGCAATCAACTCCACAACAAATCATTTATTTGAGAACCGCTTAAAGCTTAAAAATCACAAAATTGATGATGTTAATAATGTTGGTTGGAATAATGGTGATAATAATGATGATAGTGAAAAGGATGCTGATGATGATGATGATGTTGAAAATGGATTTAGAACAAAGGAAGAAGACTTCAAGTTTGAATCTTTGGGTTGTCTGGCTAATCTCAATCTTAGAGATATTCAGTATAGTAAAGTAATCACTGAATTCAACTTACTGAAATGGATCAAAAGCCATTTAGAAAGTGTACATGTTCAAAAATCGAGTGATTTTTTAAATACAACTTCCGAAGTTATCGGTGGTTTTGGACAAAGTTTTTCATCACCTATGTTACCCACTCAATTAGATGATACAATTTTAGAAATTGTAAGAATGCTCGGTGTTATATGCCAAGATCCTATTGCTGGTAAAATGGTTATTGAAGCTGGACTGGTACACAATTTGATCGGTTTATTAAACGGTATGTGACAGTTTGTATACATATTACATCATTTTGATTAAAAATTTATCACTACACTACTGTGTAAAAAAATCGATTTAAGTTTTCTGAGTAAATCTTTTCAGTAACTTTATGATAACTCATAAGATATTGTATCGTTGTCATACCTAACTTACTTACTTAGGCCTGTTACACCCAGTGGAGCATAGGCCGCCGACCAGCATTCTCGAACCTGCTCTGTCCTGGGCCTTAATTTCTAGTTCTGTCCGCTTATTGTTCATTCTTCTTACGCCTGTCTCCATTTCTCGGCGTAATGTGTTTCTTGGCCTTTCTCTTTTGCATGGATCTTGAGGATTCCAAGTGAGGGCTTGCCTTGTGACTCAGTTGGGTGCTTTCCACAATATGTGTCCTAGCCACTTCCAGCGATTATTACTGATGTTTCTTCCCCCGCTGCAATCTGGTTTTCCCTTTCCCATAGTAGGTTGTTTCTGATATTGTCTGGCCGATGAATCCGAAGTATTTTGCGTAGACAGCTGTTAATGAACAAACACTTGCATCTTCCGGATGATGGCTTCCATAGTTCTCCAAGTTTCCGCATCATACAGCCGAACTGTCTTGAAATTTGTATCGAAAACTATGACTTTGGTGTTTGCCGATAATTGTTTTGAATTCAAACGTTCTTCGGTTTTAAAATCGCAGTCTTCTTGTTCCTTCTTTCTTGAATTTTTTTAAGGGTACCAACAATGGTCCTCACCTTGTGGCGGTGCTACTTGTGGCCCAGAACCTCCTGACATGTTGAAGTGATCACCTCCTTATCCCCTTTCCACTTGTTCTCCATCGTATTTTCCTCTCCATTGGGTAGTTCCTGAAAAGCGTGGAACTTATTGCCGAGTGCTAGCCTAAATTCGTTGAGTTTTCCAGTATCCCGAAGAAACGCCATGTTAAACTATTGTAATGTTATCCGCCCCGCTGTCAGACGCTTGTTGAGTTTCAGTTTCAGTTTGGCGGCCAGCAAGTGATGTATGGTCTATTTGATTCTGCGTGGTATGATCCGGTGAAATCCATGTAGCTTTGTGTATGCGTTTGTGTGGGAACATTGTTTCGCCGATAACCACTTTGTTGAAGACACATACCTTTGCAAAACTCTCACCGTTTTCGTTCCTTTCACTCAGTCCATATCGTCTCATGATGTTTTCGTATCCAGTGTTGTCCATGCTAACCTTGGCATTTAGATCTCCCATCAGAATGCTCAAATCCTTTGGTGAACATCTGTCGACGATTGACTTCAGCCTTTCATAGAATTGATCTTTAACGTCGTCATTGTAGTCATTGGTAGGTGCACAGCATTGGATGAAATTCACTGTAATGCCCTCTTTCTTTGTTTCAAAGGATGCTTTGATTATCCTGTGTCCATGAGGTTCCCATTCTTTAAGTGCTTCTTTGGACAACATCAATACAACTCCTTTTGGATGTGGAGCATTTTCTTCTTCATGGCTGGAGTATAGCAGCTCACCCGAAGCTAGTCTTAGTTTTCAGACCTGCGTCCAATATGGTTCACTGATTCCAAGCACCTCCAGGTTGAATGTTTTCATTTCTGCAGTAATTAGGAATAGTCTTTCAGTCTCACACATTGTTTGGACATTCCATATACCCAAAAGAATGCTTGCGTTAGTTTTCAGAAGGGGAATCGGCCTCGTGACTTCCGAAGATATTCTGCTTTCATCATGAGACGTCATAATTCTTCTTCCAACTACCAGGGCAGAGTTGAAATAGTTTGAACTATATTTGCTGGTTGGCGTCTTTTAGCTAGTTAGTTCTTTTGGTGGGATGCGGTCGCCAACCCTATACCCAACCCTCCTCTTTCATCCGGGCTTGGGGCAGGCATTAGCCCCAGAGAGGCTGCAGGTGGATTTGTATCATACCTACAAATTCTAATTTTTAGTAGCTAGCAGTTGAATCCGGTGTGTGAAGTACAGGTTATTCAGATTTTATCGGGCAAATATATTAACATCAAAATGTTCTAATGTTCACAATTACTCTTGAATTCGTCATACATCTCTTTAAATATTGGAGAGGGATTCACTGAATTATGGTCAGTAAATACTGTTAGATTGCAAACTTTAGATAGTTTCAAGAATTTCAACCACTTAAACAGTTCATCAATAACCGATTTTCTTGATCACTTACTTACTAATTTTTCTTATTAATCCTATGTAAAATCTGTTTCAGTTAAACTCATTCGTAATCCAAAATGGAAAAATAACTAAACAGAGATTTCTTGCTTCCCTATGTATTTGAAAATTCTTACTTCCTGGTTAGAACTTACCAGGCAGGTGTTTAGAGACAAAATGATACAGATCAAAATTCCTCTTAGTGATCTAGGCGTTAATAAATCATAATCATTGACCTATTAAAATGCCATATTCCTATTTAGTTTGTAACTTGTTTCCTTTGATCTTTGCTTTATCTCCTATCAAATAATTCTAATGATGGTCTAACAATGATTGGTTGATGATTTCAAATGTGTAAAAACACAAACCTCCAAAACTCTGCCCGAAAGTAGTTCTTCATATTGTGGTCTAAAATTCTACTATTCAGTTTGATGTACATTTTTGTCATTAACCATGTGTTTTCTTTATCTCTGTTTTATGATTATCTGGTCTTTTCTGACTTGTTAATGCACAAAGTAAGGGTTCAGTACAATTAGCCTGTTAGATTTCCGCCATTCATCGACTGCTTACTTGGCAAATCAAGTCCAATCATATAACTTAAAACAGTTTGACATCAAGATTCGTAACATATTTTATATAAATCATAAATCTGCTGAAACTTAATTTGTTTATATCTTTGTGCATTTGTCGGTCATCTCGACATCTAGGACTACGTTTCACAATAGTAGTTGATGATCTTGTCAGCTATTATGAGGTATGAGAGAAATTGTAACTTCCCCGTTGCTCACACCATGGAAGGATGTTTCTCCCTAAAAAGGAAGCTGGATCATTGACGGTTTGATCTACTTGGAAGCCTGATCGCAGAGCTCAAGGGATAACTGCTTGAGACAAGTGTTACATAGCCATCTTTTAGTAAGTTTTCGATACATTAGCTTCGTGCATCAAAATGCCTTACTACTAGAAATGGGAATTCGTAGGGTAAGGTGGGCTGTTATATTTTTGGGGTCATATTTATCTAACTCTCCTCTTTATGAAGATGTGGAATCGCTGTAGATGTTGGTTGTCAACCGTCACACTCTTGTAAAGTCATCTGTATGACTTCACCCCTCATATACTGTATTTAGTATGAATATCCCTCGGCCATGGCATGATGTGGCAAAAGGGAGCTAGCTTTCCAACCAAAATAACTTAGTTGGGTTACTTTGGTATGTATGCCGTACCACAATGTTAGGATAGCAGCTGCAGTTAGACACAGTAGAAGGTTCGTAATGTTCTTGTCAAAAGAATTACAATGTGACTAAGGACTAAGTGTAAGCTCTTTCCTTTTCGATCCAGTACAAAGCACGTAGTAGTAAAAATTATCGTTGAATTCTATTGATTGAAGCATAAATCTTTATTTTTCTTCGCTGGAGATCTAAACCAAAAGTAAGAAATCTTATTACCGGCGAAGATGCATAATATTGCCTTTCGTAATATATTTAACCAAAAATGGCACTCAATAAGTAGTGCTACTTAAAAATCAATCAATGTTTTTCATCTAATGTGAACGACATGCATCAATCACAGTTTCGTATGCTGACATTAAAAATCACACTCCCTTCACATTTCCGAATATTTTTCAGTTAAACAGGAAGATGACGAAATTGTTTTTCAAATCGTCTATACATTTTTCCAGTTGACGTTTCACGAACAGACAAGAAATTTATTCGTAAAAACAACACGTGAGTGCTAACTACCATCTTTTTACTCATCTTCTGAGCATTACTGATTTATATACAAATGTGTGTTCTTAATTCGTTTCCTCAAAGATGCTTTATAATTTTACAAAGCTCAGTAACCCGTTTAAAGTTGACTGGTTGTTGCTTTATTCAGTAAAAGGTAACACGAGTTGACTGAGGTTAGACTTGTGCATCACTGGAACCTGACTCACTGCTTTATAGGTTAAGTATTCGTGCGCGAGACGGAATGTCCCCGTTTCAATCCTTAGAGGAGGAATCTTGGACGCATACTGCTAGTATCTCGTCTCAGGTGAAACATTTGTTCAGCACCTCCAGGTGTTTTCGGTTATCAAGCTTACGTCGGTCCGTGATATCAATAAAACCTGATAGTCCCCACAACTCTCACACTTGAAAAATATGATAATTATTTACAATTCCAAAGATAGCTTACATTTTAAAGAGTAAAAAAAAATGCCATGAAACAATTGTTCAATAAATACTTATTGAAAACGCTCTAATGAATTCACTAATCAGTATCCTCCAGGTCTTATAAATCCCATTTCTCGCCTCTTCTCAACTAGTAAGGGTTTTTCAATATAAGCGGTTTAGTATTTAAGGGACTTTGGTGAAACACTAGTCATACATGTAAAGTTCTTAAAATTGACATTCTAGTCGATATCTAAATATCCAAATTATCTTGGTTGTTGGTGTAACGCGAGTTTTCAAATTTTTGTATCTATATTTGTTGAAAATATTTTAAAGATAGATTTCATAGTTATTCATGTCCTATTTCATTACATAGTTATCTTAATTTTAATTTTATTCTAGAAGCTGTTGCTTATCTTGTCGATTTGATGCATGATAAAAATGCAGATATTCGAAAACTTTGCGATATTACTTTGGATATTGTTTGTGTAAGTTTAACTATATACGCTTTATTTTTGTAAAGCAATTCTATGCCCGAAATACGCACGTTGTTAAATTAAGCCTAAATCTACCATATATTTTATTGGGAAAGTTCATCATAATCTGCTTCAGAGTTGCAATTTATTCCTCGCTTTCATTATATGGTCACTGCATATTAACACAAAAATGAAACTACGTTATCATCACTGTCGCATGATCCTTATCACTGAAACAGTTAGACTATTATGGTGGATGCATAGCCCACTTTTTCTTTACGAACATTATAACCCTCTTCATTATTCATCCTTTATCTCACTAGTAAAGAGAATTCCAACTTGATTAGAAGAGAAATACTTTTTTTTTGAATTAACTATATTTCACTATTTAAATATTCAAAAACCACCAACAATCATTCCATTTAAATGTACCATTTTTCAAAAGATTTACAATCCCTTGAAGTAGTCTAACTGCAGCCCCTATGACCTAATCACCTAAAAGAACTCATTTATTTCTGTGAAAAATCTCTCAGGTTTCTGATACACTTTTTTGATGGCTAACAAGATTTAAAAACTTGATTTCAAAATGTCCAGTCTTTTCTGTTCATTTCACCAATCATTTTGGATATGATTAACCTATAATAAAGATGTCTTACACACAGTTGACCTCTTTGGTAGAGTTGGATAGAACTGTGAACAAATGTGGCTTATCAGAATATCAACAAAAAAGTCTGGACATTGTGATTATGCACTGTGGTTTTAATATGTTTCTTCATGAAAAAATCTGGCAGAATTAATTTAAGATTCTTGGAAATCATCAGAACAACTTGAACAGTAAGGAAAAGTCTACAATACTCACATCGAACTCACTGTTAAAAGTAAAATTTATTTAATACAGGTAGTCTAAATGTATGAACGAAGTATAAAACGCCTTATATTATTGATTTCTATTAATTTACATAGAAATGTTCTTTTTATTGTAAGCACTTGATTCAAGCCGTTCTAATGCCTGTTACCTTTAAGGAATATGAATCTGATTGGCGGGTCAGGATTCAAACAGAACGTTTTCGTTGGCATAACAGCCAGTGGTTAGAAATGATTGATACAGCAACTAACTGTAGTCTGCTTGATAATACAGATACAACAACTGAGGCAGCATTAGCAGCTGTCCTTGGCATTGGTGACACTCGATCTCAATATCATGCTAATTTGTTAACGGATAATGAGTTAAATAATATTGTCAATGAAGATAATAACGATAATCATGGATACTTTGGAATGGGATTAGGTATTGATGATGCAACAGCCTTTCTGATGTCATTATCATCTAATAATGAAGGAAGTAAGCGATCAACGGCAAGTGAGGACTTTTTACAGATACCTTTTCAAAACAACAGCTATATGAATCATTTGAACATATTGTATCCAGGTAAGTGGAAAATATTCATAAAAAAATTGTTTCCCTTTGTTTTTCTACTTTCCCAATAGCTGGATAAAATGGATTGCTGCATAAACAATAAAATTGCATGTTTTCACTGGTTACACATGTCGATAAGAGTAAAGCAGAGGAATGAACCAATTAGAGTCAAGAGCTTTAGTTTGAAGGTTTTGCGTAAAATCATAAATGAGTCGATAGAGTTTTATGAACACTACAATTTTTGAATCGCAATTTCTGATTAAGTCCAACGAAATAGAAAACTTCGTGGTTGCGATCACCACTCCTTTTAATGTAATCTATATTTCATTGAAGCAATATCTGTTTACTGATCAGCTAACATTCTTTTCATTCCTTTTTTAAGCGTTTAATTAATCACGCCTGTTATCCCCTATTGGAGCATAGGCTGCTGGCCAGCATTTTCCAACCTACTATGTCCTGGGCCTTCTTATTTAGTTCCATCCGATCGCTGTTTTTTTCATGTCTATCCGCGCTGTGCCGTGTTCAATGTTCCTTGGTTTACCTCTCTTCCTTTGGTCTTGAAAGTTCCTAGTTAAAGTTTGCCTTGTGATGAAATTACGGAATATGTGTCCTATCCACCTTCAGCGCTTTTGCCTAATTTTTCACTCTGCTGCAATCTGGTTTGTCCTTTCCCATAGTAGGTTGTTGCTGGTGATGCCTGGTCAACGGACCTGCAGTATCTTGAGTAGACAACTGTCAACAAACACCTGTTTCTTTTGAATAATGGTTTTCATAGTTCTCCCAGTTTCCTCAAGACACAGTAGAACTGTTTTGACATTTGTATTGAGAACTATGACTTTGATGTTGGTTGACAGCTGTTTTTAGTTCTAGATGTTGATCAATTGTAGAAATGTTGCCCTTGCTTAGCTGATCCGTCTTTTGACCCGTCTTTTTTAAAGAACAGTACATAGAATACTATGGGCTATATACAAGGTCTCTCGCAATGTATGCTCATGCATTGTACATGTGCAACATTTATACATTCGATCTAAAAAGGCTCATTAAATCTATTGGAATTTCGTTATGTGTTGATCACTAGTACTTTAACTTATTATGATCTCAAGTCACACAATAAAATTTTTCTGATTTTTTTTCCTTGATGGAAACTGTAGACAGACAGATCTTTCCATACTGTTTCGCTATATAAACTCATAACTGACTCGACAGTTCAGAACGAAACCTAAATCGAACTTATTTGTCTAGGAAATGTTTATCCTTAAACCCTGATTATCTGACTTAAGTGGGGCATTTTACAGAGGTTGACTGAAATCGATAAAACATTCTTCCTTAATCAAGATAGTCAAATTTTGGGTGAATTTCTATGCGAATCAGAAATATTATTTGTATATGTTTTTCTTCAAGTAGTAATAATGCCAATTCTGTGCATTTTTATCTTAATATCTAAATTCACATCTGTAGAAAAATATACACTTGTTCAACACTTAATTTATCTAAATATCACTTTGGTCTTTACCCGAAAATGGGTCTTATTCAAATAATTTGTCTACATATTTCTGTTTTTAATTATAGATATGTACGGTGATCCAAACTTTTTATCCAGTGAGAGAGTAAGTCCAGCAATAACGGTCAGAAGTCAGTATGACTCAGACTCTGATACCACCCAAAAAGGAAGTGATTTATAGTAAGTTCCAAGATTTTACTGTGGACGTAAACTAGACTTCAGCAACGTGGTTTTTAGTGTATTCATCTGTAGGCGCATTTTTCAAACTTTCTGGGTCCTAAAAGGTGCAAAAATGTTTTGCAGACAGCCACCATTAAATACTACTAACATTTCTATATGATTTACTATGAACAGATATACCCTAAAGATCTAGAGTAGCCGAGAACAGACTATAGTACGTTATACCACCTGCCTATCTCAGTTAACGTATGAATAGATCAGCTCAGTCAACTAATACACTTTGTGTAGTTAAATTAAATGTTGTTGAGACTCTTTTAGAAATACAATGAATTTTCGAAACTCATCGTTTTATTTAGATCATCGGGTTTTGAAATATGTTAACACTGGTTTACAGGTATATATTTAAACGTAAAATATTTCGATCTCAAATTTATAAAAAAAAATGAATACGTAAGGAGTATGAAGCAAAAATGGGTATAACTATCTGTCATTTGTTAGTACAATGAAAATTAAATTACCGAAAATCGATGGTTGAATCATGCCAATATTATGGCAGCATTATACTTGTCCTAAAACTCCGATATCTAACGAGGATGCGGTAGTTTTACTAACACCTGATACCCCCAATCGGGCATAGGCTGCTGACCAACATTCTCCAAAAAACATTGTCTCAAGCTCTTCTTCACAGTTCTAACTAACTGTTATTCACGTTTTTATGTCTGTCTCCAATGCACCGTGTTGGGTGCTCCTTGGTTTACCTCTCTTCCTTTGGCCTTGAAAATTCCTAGTTTTAAGGTTTGCTTTGTGATGAAATTACGGAATGTGTCCTATCCACCTTCGGCGCTTTTGCTTAATTTTTTCCTCTGCTGAAATCTGGTTTGTCCATTTGGTGTGTACACCATCAGTGCAACTTCCTACTTTTGTGAAGCATTTTTTCTCCATGGTTGCTTCTTTTGATTGATCTACTGAGAATAGTATTACGTTGTTCGCCTTACATGAACGTTTTGTTCTCACGGATAGATATCCCATTTCTCCTTGATTTGCTCACTGGATATTTTCGCATTTGGTGTACTAAGTTTTCAGACTCAGGGTGACGTTTTTTACTCGGCAAATAGTTTATCATTTTTTCGTACCAAATCGGATCATGTATCTGCGGTACCAAAACTATTTAAGTTTCCGTATAGATTATACTTTATTTGTATCACCATGTTAAAAATAAACTTGTTTTAACCAAATCCTTGGATTTCAACTAAGCTTTTAAAATCTGCTTGAATTTAAGTAATTCTAGTTTTTATATATATATCATGATCTGGCCAGAAGTCATTTTAGTACTCACTTATGGAAAGCTATTGAACTTTACTAGCTGTTGCTTGTCGATAAATCCTACTACGTTATCGGTCAGAATACCAGAAAGATCGATTGAAAGGAGCTCAAATTTGAAATAGGATGATTGGTGTCCTTTTTCTATATTTATTGATTGTTCGGTTTTCGTTGGTCAATTAGACTTTTCCGGGTCATTGAAATAATGGGATGGATGACACGGAAGTAAATATATTTGAGACTTTCATACGAAGAACTATTACTTATTTTTATTGTATGAGTAGTCAATGACTAGATTGTTGCATTTTTACATTCTCCTATTTTTAAGCTTTCATTTGATCCATAAATTATCATATCTTTTTTTATTCCAGATTTACCAATCATCATGTTCTGGTTTTGTATCATTTGTGACTAATTTATGTACACATTATAATTTTCTTATCATGTAGCTGTGTAATCATACATTTCGAGTGTATCGTTGTATCAGTCTAGTCATGACTAAGTTAAATACAATAAAAAATGATCTACTCGCTACTTCACCTGCTTTGCTACTGGATTACGAGTTCTATGATCATTGACGGTTAATGCCTTGTTTGTTGCTGATTGCGCAGTGTGTCAACCAGTACATGTCATGCAAATGCTTTTCTATCATTACGGCCCTATTACAGTAGATCCAATACGTGCAGTCTGTTTTTACAACTTAAGAGCCATTCGTAAGACTCAATAAGGATCCGATATGTTTGGAAAAATAGTTAAATAAATATGCTGCGTACTTTAGGATCGAACGACTAAAGAATCCAGCTACCCGGGGTTGAAAGTGTTCATGCCTGGTAGAATAACTAACAGTATTTATGGCAGCTGATGAGGTGAAAATCCAATGGCTTGTCTAAAAGACCACCAAGCAGTTATTGATTGAGCAGCGCATAAATATAGGGAAAAGCTGAATACGCTTGTGAACAGATCGCAGTGACAACAATTGTGAAAATTGTGCAAAGCAACCATTAATCGTGTTAAGTATTGCATCCACTGGAGTTTAAATTGTGGTTAAGACGTTTGTATTTCGCTCTGAACTTTTGTCGAAGGTTCACTGAATGGAGCCAAATCCGTATTTTCAATTCGTTCCAAGTATGTTCAGACTGATATACAATCAATCTCACCAAGCGCACTAAATACTTACCACACAATGACGCCGCTAAAACCATATTCGTGCACACTCTAAATGGAGAAGCAAGGAAGATTGAGTTTAATAAATACGTGTTTGCTATCTCCATTTACGTTGAAGATATATTAAGACTAATTTTTATATATTTTGTTATACACATGTTGATGATGGCTCTACTATGCTAATATAAATTATCCCGAGATCGAAAGAAAAACATTAATGGAGAAACACAATTTACTCTCCCAATCGAAAGTTGCTGTATAGCTATTTCTCAATGCGGTGATTTTTAGGTCCCATTCACACTGATTTTGAATCAATTTAATTCAGTGGTATCTGTCACTGACTGATTAGTTTACAAGCAGAACTTACAGACGTTGCTACAGCTAAAAAATATAAATTACTGAGCAGTATGCCTACTTCCATTTTCCCTATATAGTTTGTCAATAAAAGTTCACAAACTAACACATCGGGCTGAGAAGATTACGTGGTAGAAAAAAGCAATGTTCAATACGAAATTTTCGATTATTGAACATATTGTCATGCAATATAAGTATCTGAAGTAAGAAACAAGAGTAAAAGGTCATGTAACTTTTAGATCAGCACCCAGCATCTTTTGATGGTTTGGTGAAAACCTGCTAGCTTCCGTGTTCTCATTTTAGGTGAAATATTTTACATCACTGACCGGTCGTTTATTTCTTTCTATTACAAATAATTTTTCGACAGTCGGAAGAAGAGGGAGTTGGAAACTGACAGTAGTGAAGATCGGAAAACTAGTAAAAGCGCGTGAAGAAAGAAAATCATGGTTAAAGTAGTTTATAAAATGAGGGACTTAGAAAAGTAAGCACAATGGATATGGAAACGTCTTGCTCTGTTTAGACGCTCCTTCCTACAGTCTGTCCAGTGATTTTGCAGCTTGTTTCTCTAGACTGCACTTTTTCCCACAAGTTCACATCTCTCTTAAGTAAATTTAGCAAGGTCATATGGTTTAAGATATTCCAGGATATAGGTCTGAAATTAACATAAACATTTAGAAAGTTAGCATACTTATCCGCCCTCAAGAGGTGTGAGATAAAAGGTGAATAGTAACCGGTGATATCCAGATGGCATGGTAAAGTGATAAGTCACGCTCTATCATAACACTGGAGAGAGGACAGTTGTGGAAAAGAACGTTTCCGAAGGCAAACACTACATACATTCCAGTTTTTCTTTTCTATCACAGACAAGTGTTTATTAATCCCATTGTACGACGTATTTTCTCACCTGAGCTATAAATTATTGTAGGTACATTTGAAATGAACCCATGAGAATTACGTTATATACTTGTTCAACACCCATTCACTGCTACTACGTATCCTGAGGTCACGCAATGCACTGAAAATGCTGGCTTATTACCGAGTAGTTTTTAAAACTGCATTCAGATGCGACTGCTGATTACATTTGAACTTTATCACGGTATGATCTCTGCTGCTCACAACGGATTAGATGATGGGGTTTCTACCGAGAATCGGATCATTTATTAGTAGTTATTTAGATTTCTACTGCCACCCATATCGTAATCGTTGCGTCTCATTTGTCACAAGTTTGAAGATTCTAACTTCATTTAGCTCGTAAGATTTAGGTCTCTGTCGGCATGACCGCACTTATCAATGCTACTGCAATGATAGACTTCAAATAACTTCGTGGAATGCTATGATTTGACTAACCAATCTATAACATTTTACACAGAAGTCGACTCATCCTACTGTGGCGGTCAATACTGTGCTTTTGACCACTTTTGTAGAACAAATTTGAAATAGAGATAGAATAATATGTTAACTTTAGAAGGGTTACGCAAAAGGAACACTTCTGTATACCCGAACCGTACCGACTCCATCTAATGTGTCAGCATTTACCGCTGTTGACCTTGAAGTGTTGCAAGTTGCATGGGAGTCGTCTGAATCGCTTTATGTTCACTTTTGAAGATCTTATGATTAGGAGCAAACACGACTACAGAATCAGTGCGATTTCGCTAATGAATACAGAAATCCAAAACATTGCAGGGATAAAAGGTTATATAGTCAGTGCATGTCCAATGAGTTAATTTGTATCCAGAGCATTCCATAACTCAATACCATACATTACTTTATCTATCTTGTTTTTGCCAACTTATATTGATTCACTTAGGTGAGTATTCACACCGTAATTCCATCATTAATCACTCAACTTCATCAGCCATGTATTCCAAAAACATATAGTACAAGTGACTTATTGCTTCTCAGTCAACGCCTCAGATACTATATTTGTCTTGACACGTCTGTTTAATTTGTTATCTGGAAAATACCATCATCACGACCGTAGCTGCTACCTTGACGTGGTGGCCAGGTTAGCCTATCGTGATGACTCAACCGAGCTATAATGGCTGAAACATATGTTCCTGTATATCCTATCACGCCAAGTAGGTCGTTTGGAGAACGATGAGACTAAAAGCAGTCACTCAACGTCTGAGGGCGAAGTCGTACTGCTGCCTTCAGAGAGGTGTGACAGCAATAAGGTTTTTCGATCGAACAACCAAAATCTGTAGCGATGCTGCCGTTTTACAAGAGAGGAAGGGGTTTAGAAAAAGTCGACCCTAAAAATGTCACACCTCACCCTACCTTATGGATTTCCGTCTCCGGCGGTAGGGGTGCCCACTAAGGGCTTTTAAGAGGGTGGCTAACACTCAAAAATCTCTTATGAAACGGCCGTGCGTAACCGGCCTCAAGCAGTTATCCCTTGGACTCTGCGGTCACGCACTCAAGACCAACAATAATCTACCTTCCTTTTCAGGTTCTTTAAGAAACACCCACGGTTTAGGCAACCGGGAATTAACATACGCCCTCATAATCACAAAAGCACACGATACCGGACTTGCTACAATCAGATCCTTTTTACACCTCCTAATAACTCTCTTATCTCTTAGACCAACTGTTCGTTCGATCGTTTACCACCTCACACCACGGAAGCGAATAGTAAGAGCTCTCAAAAATTATTCCCTGTCTCCTGAAACCGGCACAAAATTACATATAGGAGCTTTTAATGTTCGGACCCTATGCAAATTAGGGCAACAGGCTTCATCAGCTAGAAATCTGGAGTCTCGGGCGATCGATGTATGTTGCCTATCTGAAACGCGCAGACAGAGACAACAAGGTTTGCGCTTCGTGTTTCTGGAAGCCCGGATGCCGCTTCTCGTGGCTTCGCCGGCGTAGGCATAGTATTAAATCTTAGGGCATAAATAGCTCTCTTAGACTGGATCTCGACAGACAGTCGCTTATGCACTGTCCGACTAAACGGGATGGTACGGACTCGGAAAGATAGGCACACTCGCCGTCGCCTCTCCGTCATACCTGCCTACGCTCCCACTGACTGCAGTTCACACGATATGAAAGATAAGTTTTATAGAAACCTCTCTAAACTTCTCCAAAATGTTAAGCGCTCTGATTTAGTTATAATGTTTGGTGACTCTAATGCTCAAGTAGGTAGATTCGGCGAAAAGGAGAGACACCTGGGTGGGTGTTATGGTGTCGCGGCTAATAGGACAGATAATTGCGACCGTCTGCTGCAGACATTTTCAGAAAACCGCCTATTTCTAGCAAACACCTCTTGACCTGGCGACCCGCAAAACTGACCCAACGATGGACTTATTTAGATCACATCGCTATAAGTCATGGGTGGAGAGGTTCTGTTCAAGACTGCCGCTCATTCTGGAGCAGTTGTTTAGACTCTGACCATGCTCTAGTGCGAGCGCGTATTTGTTTGCGCCTTACTGGACGCAAGAAAAATATCTCTAGGAAACCTCTTGGGTCCTCTAATTATTAATAAAAAAGCTAAAAATATATTTCAGGAACAACTAGAATAACAGTTAGGCGACCATTTAAGCAATTCCCTTCTGGAGGTAGGTTGGAATGATATTAAATAGGCTGTGAAAATGGCAGTGAATTCTGCTAGCAAGATAAACCATAAGGCTAGGAAGAAGCATCTACGGAACTGATAGGTTCTCGAAAGCTCATCGCTCCAGGCTCTGAGAACGATGAAGAGTGGATTCAGATCAAGCGCAGGCTGATAAAAAGCCGTTGCAGTGATCAAGAACAGTGGTGGGTAGCGAAAACAAAGAAGATGGAAAAGGCAACGGCGATAGGCAGCAGTAGGCAACTATTCAGGCTTATCAGGAAAACTCGCATTAGGAACCCGAGTGCGAGTGAAACTATCTCACTAAAGAATGACTGTTTCATTCATTCTCAATCCAGGAGATTGGATCGATGGGCAAAACACTTTAGGCAGCAGTTCAACCACACGTTCGTTACCAAAGATCTTCAGCCATCCTAAATGGAAACCGACGTAAGTCCTCTAAATCTCTATGAAGTTGAGAAAGCGATAAGAAATCTGGAGCGATAGGCGAGCAGCGGGTCTTGATAGATTGACCTCCGAGATTTTCAAGGATTGTGGTCCAGTTTTAGCAGCTAGATTAACCGAGATGTGGGCAGAATCTGAGAACTGGATATAATCCCATCTGCTTGATCCCAATCCTTGATTGTTTTAGTTTATAAGAAATGACAAGTCTTCTTGTGACAATCACAGTGGAATCAGTCTAACTAATATAGTTTCTAAATTGTTAGCCTCGATTATACTTAGACGCCTAGCTACATCTCGTGAAGAGCAGACTAGAGAAAACCAGGCTGGTTTCAGACCACATATTGACGCTACGACAGGTCCTGAAACACAGATATAGAGGCATCCGACAAAAGTTGTCTTCCTGGACCTAAAAGCGGCATTTGACTCAGCGGATCGTGAAGTTCTGTGGTAGTGTCTGTCATCAAAAGTGTATCAGAGAGGTACTTTAACCTACTGGAGCTTAGAGTGAACTGTCATCGGAATTTCTTACTTCAAGCGGTGACCTTCAGGGATGTCCACTTTCCCATTCTTGTCTAACTTTGTCATAGACATGCTACTAGATATAACATTATCTTCGTCTGAATGTTCACGAGTGGACCTTCTACCAGGAGACACGCTTGCTGACTTAGAACATGCCGATGACACAGTTCTATTCGGTGAATAAACTGCCAAAATGCAGAGTCTTCTGACCATCCCAAGCAACATTGCAATCATGTTCGAGATGCTGTTTTCCTCTTCGAAATCCAAAATTTTGTTTCAAGACTGGGTTGCATCGGCACCTTAACTAGTGATAGGTGGTGACGTAGTCGAGCGTGTAGACCGCTTCACTTATTTCAGGTGTCTCATCAGTGCTGATGGCTTTGTGACTGACGAAATCTCAGATCGGATAAAGAATGTGTAGGATCTATTTTGAAGGTTTTGTTTTTGGAAAATCCCTCCATGTTTATGCATTTGTGTTGTGATATGACTGACTCTTCTGTTTGATATTTTCGTACTCTATTAGATCCCATTTTAGATTTTATCATTTGTATATTGTTAGTATTTCTATGTCGTGTACTTATATTGAAGTTCCCATGTCTCTTTCTGAACTATATATGTGTTGTTTAAATTTGATACTTAATATGGCTACAACCATATTTGGATCTGATACTCTGGCAGTAACTAACTGGAAGTACTTATTCTTCCAGCAACGGGACCTATTGTGGTAATTGGAAACTCGAAGGTGTAACACTGTTTTGGTAATTGTATGAATTTCCCCTTTTTGATTAAATATAGGACTGTTCTCTCCCAGAATTATCGTTTTTGGACTTGGACTGGGCGGGACGCATATGAACCTACACTTTCAGTTTCGGAGCGGACTGCAAGAGTAATATAATTATTTTATAGAAGGCTCGATTGGCTTTTGCCAACCTGCGTCACTTATGGCGTAGGCGACATATCCGTTTGCTGACAAAAGTACGAGTTAACTGCGCGGTAGTTCCTTCCGTCTTACTTTATGGCTGTGAAACATGGCCAGTGAGAGTAGAAGATATTCGTAAGTTGCTACTTATCGATCATATGTGTCTTCGAAGCATTGTTCGAGTATCATGGGACAACCGTATCAGCAGCGCAGTTGTTAGGAAACGGGTGCTAGGTAAGAATGGCAGATCAATCGACGAAGTATTGAAACTTCACCAGTTGAGGTGGTTGGGACATGTGTTGCGTATGCCGAACCACCGACTGCCTCGTCGAGCCTTGTTTTGTAGTGTGGGAATAGGTTGGAAGAAAGTTAGGGGCGGCCAAACCAAAACATGGCAGAAATCCATGAAGTCACTGACAAGTGGACTGGGTGATGTTGGTAGATGTAGGCTTCCTGGTTGGGGTCCGCAAAATGATAGTAATCGATGGTTAGAGACCCTGAATTACATGGCTTTTTCCCCAGTATATGTTGACTCCTACTGGTGCAGAGGCTGCTCCCACACCTACCGTCTCCTCCTGCTTTCGTTGTATGTGGGAAAGAAAGGCTAAAGCATATAAGAAGCCTAGATTGTCCAGATGCATTCGAGCTTTCCAACGTATTCTATAGCAATTCGCACGATATACCTCTTCGCGGGATAACATATGTTACTCCACGAACTCAGAGAATCAAATAAGAAATAGATTCTAGAAGAAGTATATTTGATACTGGCCTCGTGATATCAAAATGATATCGGGGCCATAGGGCGTGCAAACGGCTAAAGTCCACGCAGGCGACGTGCATAGAGGAGAATGAGAATAACACGCTTGGCGCGCGAGAGAGTCTTTAGTAAAGATAAACAAGAGGTGCATAATTTAGCAATTATTTTCAGAATTAAGTACAATAATAAATGTTTATATTTCAGCAGTTGTGTTTTCGTCCTAAAAGTAAACCACCACAATTCCATGCTCTTCCCCAGATGTTGACGTCGTCGTAATCCAGTTAGCCACTTGGAGAAAGAGAAAGGGGAGAAGTAAGCAATCTTTCCTTACACGTGACTTCATTTCGAACGAGTATGCCAGATGTCCTACGTGCACGATTTTGCAGTCTAATCCATCATAAGAGTTTCATATGATGTTGAATATATTCTGAGGCATGCCATGGTATCGAAGAACTCTCTATGGTGCCATCCTGTCCACATTATCAAATGCTTTCTAGTATTCAGTGAAGTCGGTGTAGAGTGGTGAATTCCGTTCAATTGATTGTTCCACAACAGTCCACAGGGCTGGGTGCTATTTGTTCAATATGCTCTTAGAACCTAGTTTGGTGGGGTGTTGCGGACCACTGTGCCACACTGCCGACCATGAATGTTTGGTGTTCTCTCTGTGTGACTTACTGAAAACGTGTGAATTCTGAACTCTCTGAAGCTTCGGGTGAATATCAGATTAACTTAAAAATTGATGAACGTCGTGACCATATCGCTTCTCACATTAGGTCAAGGTGGTGTCGAAAAAAATTATTAGGGGTAAACTCAGTTCTTCATCGTGTCACAGGACCCTAACTGTTTGATGAAGGATTCGTTTTTTTGAAAATATGGCCATACCTTATAAAGTACCAGCTGAAATATGTGTGTAGAATCTAGGATATGTACTTTCGTTTTATTTGATTCCAAGTCCCTCTATAATACAATCACGCAATGGAGCTATTAAAAATTATAACGCATATTTTTAGAATACATTTCAACTAGTTTGATATCTCAATTACTTGTTAAGTCATTATATATGAATAAAAGGGCCAACCAAACGAAAAGAAGCTAAAGGGAAACGAAGATATCGAAGTATACAATGCGAAAGTCATATAATCCGTTAGCTTCCGTCTTCTCATTGTAACATCAATATTTATCAAAGCGAAGTGCCGCTCTGAAGTGCACCTAACTCAGTTTTGATATGGAATGTTGTGCTGAAAACAGATTTGGGTGCTACGAATTTATGATTGTGTACTTCAATTATCCCAACAATCTGTCATGAATAGTGTAGGGTATTCTGCAATTCAAATATATCTAAGCGTAAGCATCGAGGATCAGATCAACTGAACTCAAAAGTTCGCAATATTATAAAAAGGGAGATGAATAACCGGTAACAAATCTCAATGTGATCTGGACGGTTAACATATGCTGCAGGAAACATAATACTGGCACCTCAAAACTGCGTAACTAGGGAAACTGCAATCTAAGACACATGACGACTGAACATTAAGCTGACAATCATCTCCACTGCTTTCGAATTACAGATCTACAGATCACTAACGCAGGTTATTTTGTCTATGGTTGCTGATTTACTAACTTAGGGTAGGAGTGATGACCTCCCACACTACGTGGATGTCGCGCCTCAAAGTGATTCCCAACATAGTTTATTCCACTATGATGACCAGGTTGGTTATAAGAATACATTCAATAGCAACATTTTTTATTAGTATTTATACTTAACAGGAGTACAAAGCGGACAACTGATGCTTGTGCCTCCCCACTGTAGTTAAACTATCGTTGATTAGTTCTCGTTATCGAAGAGTATCATTCAACTGTCTGGCACCCAGTGACCTACTTACCAGAGGACATGGCTGGGGCCTAATGAAATTTCACTAGCCATCTAGCAATAAATGATCGTGTGCACAATGTTTTTATAAAAAAAACCTTCAACTGAAAAGCATGATCGTCCGTAGTTTTCGAATTCAGAAACCTGCTTTATTTGTTATTCCCAATAATATGAGATGAAAAGTCTTGAAGTTTCGAATATGATTTCTGTTTTAGATATTGAATACTGTATGACATTTAGGTTACTTTTCTGCGACAACTGTGACCCACCAATATAAAACAGTTTGTAAAGTGCTATTGTTTAATGAACACTTCACTTAATGTCGATGGTCAAAACAACCATTATTATGCAGCCAAGTAGGTCAGAATAGTTATTAATTTTGAAATACATAGAATTCCGTCCGATGTGAAAGCTCATGCTTGTTTAATGATATTAGCATGGGGTTTCTGTAATCCTAATGCTATTATCATTTCCAGGCACTTCAAGAAAGGTTGGCCAGGTCGAACAATAAACAATTTGGCATACTGGTTTCAGTTTCACGTTATTCTGCAGTCGTTTACACTTGCATTTGTCTTGCTAGCTCTGATGATTATTGTGGTCCATGTTATGGGTTACTCAAATTTAAATGACCTTCCTTTCAGCGCTCACCCACCATGTGGGTTCACTATCGTTATACTTACCTTTTCAAATGTAAGTGGGACTAATACTAATCAGTGCTTCAGCCCATTGCTGCATGGTTTCTTTGCACGACAAGTGGTCGCCAAAGAGCTATTACAAAACGTATTCATCAAACAGCTGGAATTTTGTCACAGTTACTTTCTGTCCCAACAGTTCTAATCGGACTACAAATGCCAGCCTTGGGATACGATGTTTGTTCGTCGAAGATATATTCAACACTTTTTATTATTACTGTTGTTCTTAACGTCGCTATTGAGATAATTCTTGAAGTTATTGGATATAAAATCAGAAAAAATTTCCAAAGTAAACAAGATGGCCTCGGTTTTACCTATTATCACATTTATATTAGTTGTGCAGTCAATTCTAAGCATTCAAGCTGATGAGGCTGATACACTGCTTACTCGAATCGCAGAAGTGAGTTAATATATTTCTGTTTAAAATTTTCAGGTAGTGTTTATTCAATCAGCGAATCAAACAGTTAGTAATTATACATTTTAGTTGTCTAGATAATATAAGTCTTAACTCATCTAAGTGTGAGAGCGAAAAATTAATCCTACTACCTATCGAATGAGAATGTTAGGAACTGATAATGAGGCATATCACAAAAATTCGATTGGTAACAATGTTTATTTCGTCTATTCTTACTCAGAAAAGTATGTGTGGTGATCGCTTAACTGTTTAATTGCTGGTGCTGACCATCATACGATGATTGCGCTCAAGGAATGTCACCATTTATTGGATCATATTTAGTAGCATTTCGGTATGCTTGCTCCTCATTTCAGAAAACAGCAATTTTCACTCAACACATAACGGACTAGCTTTTATAATATACCGCTTCCTAGCTACTCTACGAAACAACATTGAATGAATTGGAATCTTAAAGTAAGACTTAACCAGCTGTTCTTGCAATACGTTTTAAGGAAAAACAAGAAATCCCTCAGTGCTTAAAAAGTTGTATAGAACTCTGTCAATAACTTAACACAAGTTACTGTAAACGTCCGACTAGGTTTTTTGATATCACTTGAGCTGGTTCATTCAGCCAAAAGTTTGTGTTGTTTCACAGGATTTTTGATCTAAAGCACCTTAAAAATCTTATGAAAATGTAATACGATCTTGATTAATTTTTTGAATTTTTGGTCTCCGTCAGTCAGTTACAAAATAGAACTTCGTACGTGCATACATCAGTTCAATTTGTCATACCACATTAGCACAGAGACGCAATTGTCGATTCAAATCCTATAGTAGTAGATGTAGTAGAAGTATCAGAAGTAATCGGAGAGATTAGGGTCCGAAGATATCGTTCAAGAAGTATAATCAAGTGAGATAAATTTATTAACAGAAAGTTAGAGGCAATGGGGAACTTAGAAGATTAAGGTCTTCAACCATCGATTAATGTTATCTTGCGCACCCCAACGAGGTAGTATACACATACCAGCATTACTCAGTCCAATTGCCAGTGACTTCATGGATTTCTGCCATGTTTTGATTTGGCTGGCCTAAGCTTTCTTCCAACCTATTCCTACAACACAGAACATAGCTCGACGAGACAGACGGTTTTTGAGCATTCGTTGCACATGTCCCAACAATCTCTATTGATGAACTTTCAATACCTGATCTACTGATCTGCCATCCTCATCTGGTATCCATTTCCTGACGACATCATCCCTTACTCGGTGGTCCCAGGATATACAACCAATGCCTTAAAGACACCGATTATTGAATACTAGTAACATACGAATATCGTCACTTGTTAGTAGGCACGTTTCACACCGATATAGTGGGACAGAGAGAATCGGTGAAGATTAAACTCGCCCTTTGGTTAACAGACAGATATCTCTTATATGCCATAAGTGACGCGAGTCGGCATAAGCCAGTCGAGTCTTATGTATCCTATGGGTTCTTAATGATTTTTATCTTTCTCTTTTTAAGTTTATTTCACAATGTTATACTTCCTGAATAGTATGTTTGAACCATGATCTCCCCAATCACTGATAAAACTTCCACACCCTCTACTTCTATGGGATTTGAATTGGCAATTGATTCTCTGTGCTAATGTGGTATGACAACTTGAACTGATGTAAGAGTGTATCAACTTTTACTTTGCAGCTGACCGACTGCTTTTTGAAAAATGGAACTAAATTCATTTGTTCTTTAGCCGTCTAGCCAAAGGGATGAATATATTCGAAATATGCAACTCGGGTCCAAATTGTTCGCCAGAATATAAAACAGTTTATCAAACTTTACTTCATAATTGAAATGTCACAAAATACTATAAATCATATTTATCTTTTCATTTTACTTTTCGAACGATGTTATTGTTTTAACAGGAACCGAACTAGTTCCAGTTGAATGTTCATTAAATAAGATTCTATTTTATATGAAACCAACAAGTTCAGCTTCAAATCAGTAGCTTTATTATTGCTTATGTAGAATACTTGACCTGTCAAAATTATCATTTTATAATCATTGTACTGTTAGGTAGTCACTCTTTTACTGAATATGTCTCTAACAAACATCAGATAATTTAACCGCTTATCTAAACTAAGGAAATCAATCTGTCCTAAATCATAGCAATAGGTACACAAAAATTTGAATGTCTGAATCATATTTAGGCCACGTTTGTCAATAAGTGCTTAGATAAATGAAAACATTTTGCTTAATCGTTATGAAAGTAAATTGAAATCCTTTTTTAACGTGTGTTTTTTCTACCTCAAAAATGTATATTTTCAACCATATACAAATTAGTCAATAACTAACACTCAACTTTGATGGTGATTCTGCAGACTAAATTGCTTATACGTTGATTCTTAGCTAACTTAACAGCTTCAGTGTTTACCTTGTTTTTTAAAGCCGTTCAACATATCGAGTTTTTCAGTCACTTACAAGACGTCTTCGTTTCATACTTTTAAGCGAGTAGGTTGATATTTCCTTAACAATTAAAATAATTTTAGCAACGGTAAAGTGATAAGAATTAAGATTCGAAAATTGCCAACGCTCTGAATCGTTTTCCAAAACAAAAAGCAAAAAGCCTCCGCCACAACCTTTGCTAAAAATTTATATATCAATGACTATTCTTATCATTTTCAACAAGCTATTCCGAATACAAACAATTTTTGTCACCAATATTTTAGTCCATCCACCTAGTTACTTAAGATGCAAGAATTCCACTCGGGCGTTAAATCATGTTAGCATCCTTAGCTAAGTAACTGAGTTAAAAACATATTTTGGTAGCTTGTTTATAATTCTAAACAAGCCTATTACATAATACTAATTAATCTGTGTCGTGTATTTTCTCAAGGTAGGTTAGTCAAAAGATCTTTATTAACTTAGAGTTATTTTTAAATCCTGCTACGCCTAATTAATAAATGGCACAACAACTTTTTATATACGAACCACCAAAAATTTAATTTTCCAAGAATAATTTACAGGAGGTAAACCGTACGGTTAGACGTCAGGCTGTTTGATCAGCTGAAGTGACGTAGAGGCTCTAAAATAATAGAACTATACGCATTTAAAGTCATAAAATCCTGAAAAAAATTGAAGATATTCATCGTGCAACTAAACCTGCAAGATTTCTAGATTAATTATAAAGAGTCTAAATGGACGAATTTGAAGTAAACAAGAAACAGGAACTTTTCAAGTTAAAGAAATGGACAATTAAACTTTTCGAGTGTAACTTTTAAGCATTCTCAGTTATCATTTATCTGAACTCCTATATATTTCTAATGTTATTATGAAGTAAAATGATAGATAAACTTACAACATTAACTGCTAAAAGTACTTCCTTATCATTATCACCACGAAAAAATATAATCAAATATTTCTAAGCAGTCTTTCATTTATTTTTAGGATCCAAAACGTGGAGCTACATTTTTAGAAAATTATAGAACAGAACTTGTCGTAAGTTATCGGGAAATTTGCTGATATTTATTAAATCTTTCCAAACAAAGGGCCGGCTTTGGAAGGCGCAATTAAAAAGATTAAAAACATCGGACACCTTCATTTTATAATTTATCCAGTTAATTTTGTTTGTTTGTCGTAATAAGTGTATGTTTAGAACATAGTATGGGCTGTTACAGAATTTTCTATAAAATCACGAACAAGTGCTCGTTATCGAATGATAATTAATTCTTATAGTACACTTCAATCATTCAATAAAATGTTTACTTAGTAAATTTATGTCTCCGTACAAACGGTAAACTTGTGTAAAAATCAGAATTTCGAATAGTCTAACTTATTTACGCAGAAGACCATGAAAATGAAGTGATGTTGTGTAATATGGTCAAGATTTCCAAAAGATTTCAAGTATTAAATATTATAACTTATAAACGGAAGGGTGTTATTCCAAGATAATTGAAGTTTTCAAATATTAAATAAAAAAGGGTAACATCACTTAACAAAGTAATGAAAATATATGCGATAAAAACTTAAGATAACTGGCTAAAGTAAGCGAAGACGAAGGTCACAGTTAGTACTGACAGTTTGTAAAAATTCAAGGAGGTGCTAGGACCAGGAGAGAGTAAGGGGTTGAATATGACTCGTTTGTACACAGACGTTGAGTTTGAAATGATGAATTGCTTAAGTACAAACGATTAAAGTGGTGTTTTATGAGAAATGATCTGCTGTTTGATTTGCGTTCTTCTTTCGATAACCATGCAGGATGGTGCTCGGATATTCGTTTACCAAGTGCACATTTTGTACTGCCAATAAAACCTGCTCCACAAGAACAAGCAAACTGATAAATCCATGTTAGGGTGTCTTAAAGAGGCAGCTTATACGTGACACTTCCTTGAATGAGTTATTTTTCTGGAGAAAGCAGTTCAGGGTTTTGCTGAATAAAATGTGTTTTGCAGCGACCTGGACATTTTGCTTTATAATATCTTAGCCACCGTATTTCCCTTTAATTCAGTGTTTGAGAATAAAACTTCAAAACTCTGAATATTTTTAACTTGAAGTTTTGGTTACGCATTACAGTCAGTGAGCTTGGGTTGAAAAGTCATTCTCCTTAATTATTCGTCGTATTCTGTTCAGCTCATCGTACAGTGTGTTTTCAGTGTATATTCCTCTGACTATTGAGGATAGAGAATGAGTAAGATTTCTATTCCTCCTTGGCGGTACTGAACTCTAGAAGTTTGTGTACTGCTCGTCTCAGAATGGCTTTCTACACATCGACCGTTGTAAAGATCTATCTGAATTCCGTCTTAGTAGAACATCGTGAAAGGGAAAGTCAGAGTTCAACACCGTTTCTAATGTGTTCATAATGGAGTAGTGACAGTTATTGAACTCTTGTACTATTCCATCAAGGTCTCTGTCTTCATCACAGATGATAAGAGTGACATTCATATATCTCTTACAAAAATACAATTTATGGTTTTCTTCTCGACGGATAGTATTTCTCAGGTTGGTAATAAAACTGTCTGCTTCAAGACGATCACAAGAGCAATTATTTGTCTATAGCGATCATCGTTAAATTTAGGGTGTATGCTGAAAGTGTAGCGTAGAAGTAGCACTTCTAAGAATTATTTTGGTACACTGATGTCAACTTGTTAAGGTCAGCATGATCACATAAATAACAGATAGTTTATTTCAGCGGAACATTTGTGAGCAGAAGGTTAGGGGCGGCCGAGCCGAAACATGGCAGAAATCCATGAAGTGACTGAAAACTGGAGTGAATCATGTTGGTAGGTGTCGACTCTCTGGTCGGGTTCCGCGAGAGGATAGTAATCGATGGTTAAAGACTATGAATGACGGATCAAAACCGTTTGCAGTGGAGTAGATGCATCCATTCTTTGTGTGCTCTCAAATCTCAATCCTCTGAATTCCTCATAACCGTTTCTTCCCTTTTTTAATTGATTCCTCTGGAATATACATTTTGAATGACATATTCGATTGTTAATCCTTTTGCTTACTGCTAATACTTGATCTACCTCTACTACTGTAAGATTTGAATTGACAGTTGCGTCTCTGTGCCAACGGGGAGTGGCAACTTGAAATAATGTACGTACCTACGAAGTTCTACGTTGTGTCTGACTGGCTGTTTTTATTTCCCGATAGTGACGTTGGTAATTGAGTTCAGGGACTTAAATGAATCTAGGATGCTGTTTGCAGATCCGGTTTCTGACTGGTTGTTGGATTTCCACCAGCTATCTGACGATTGCCTGGTATGGATAATTATCCATACCCACTATCGGACAGAAGAGAGATCTTTATTACGAACATTTGGGAGCCCATACAGTCGTGGGATAGGAGAACTCGGTGGCTTTAAACGTTCGAACAGGTTGTCGTTGATGGTTGACTTATTAATGTCATAATTTCATGTCAATTATATTACCACAACTTTTTTTCCTTTTAGTTGCCTAACCTTCAACTTATAATTTATAACTATTTTTTACTCTAGAATCAAAATTCTAAGAAAGGTATACCAAAAGAAATTACAAAAAACCACACAGTAAGTTTATTTTATTCCAGTGAACGGTGAAATTGATGCACGTTGATTGGAATCTACAGGAAATGTCTCACTTATTCTACTTTTACACAATTTTAAGAGTGGACTCTCTGATAAGGATCCTTTGACTTTATCAAGTAAAATTTGATGCGCTGTTGGGAATTATGTAACTGTTAATATCGTTTGTCTTAGTTGAATTCATAGATACATTAGCTGAGCATTAATAATCAATGTACGCTGAATGCGTTTCCGTTAGCAGCTATGTGCAACGTAAAATCATTATTTTGGTAGGTTATATTTTAGAACTGCTTCGCATCCATCCAACATTTAACTATAGATTTGGGTTTTTTCCAGTGATAATGATCAATTCGCGACCACCTCAAAGTAGCTGTGATTGAAATGATTTAAGTATAATTTAGATGATAAAATATAGTTCGTTTATTCCATTTGTACGAGAAAATTAAAACTGGCAAACGATTGTCTTTTTTCTCTTAATGAATGATTATGACTACTTATTTAATTAACATAATTTAAAAATTATCTCGATCATAAATTAGTCAGAATTTGTAGTATTGTACAAAATGCCACGATTAAACTAGAAGGTTTTCTGCAGAAATCTCTATTCATTTTGACGGTTTCTCAGTATTAACTTGAAAATTCTTATAGATTCATCCCTCTGAAATATGTTTGTTCCATAACATAAAATACAATGAATATGTCTCATTACTTCGATTACAGTGAGTCAAACGCAAGGTAGAACCTGGCACATACTTCAAAAATGTACAAGCTGTTACTCATGAATCAAATAAAGCCCAGAAGTTATTTGATGTTGTAAATTAATTATGAGCGTTATATTCTCTAAGTTACAGCTTAGAGTTAATACGAAAAGTGTGATTTTTTACATGAAGGTATATTTTTAGTCCGTACTCTTCATAGTTAGCTCAACATTTCCAAGTAAACTAGTTTTTGTTAAATGAACTTTCATTAGTTGGCAGTATGAAGACAGTAACTTTACCTTTAGTCTGTTTTTGATGAGAATGCCATTTGACTAACATGGGCTTTTACTACCACTAATTTTAAAAAGTCAGCAAAACATGTTAGCGAATTTCAACTTAATATATAATGTTTTGTTAAAAACTCATGGTTATCTTATATATAGCAACTAAACATCAACAGGAGCCTTTACTGGTGGAAAATATAGTATTCTATGTTAACCCATACTTTAGCAGTCAATAATACTAATGACGCTGGAAGATAAGTAAATCCTTCAAGTCAGTCTAACGTCCTCACTTTGAAAACCGAAAACTCTTTGTTTTTTTTGTAGTTGGATCATAGTAGTATTACATGAAGATGGCTAAACGAACATATCAACTGTTTCATAATTTGTGATATTCATTAAAAACTTATCTTGTAAATTGTGTTAGCAAGGTGGTAGGTTGGCTGTTTTATGTACATATCACTGTATCGTGTCTCATTTTCATTGCACTGCAGAAATTTCTCTACGTTTAAAATGTTTCTGTTGATAACATGAGTTTCAGGTAAACAATTTATTGTAGGAAAAAAATTTTCCAAAATTCATTTTGTTCTTTTCATTTGCAGTTATGGATCATTAAGTACTTTCTTCTCGCTATACATTTAGCTCTCAGTTTTAGTTTGATATTTGTCTTAGTTGTACTGTTAGCTGAATGAAACTTCTCGTGCTTCTTCGACGGAATAAAATAAAGAAAAAGTCAACATTCTTCACTTCAAGTCTTTTATGAGATCAATTTTTAACTAGTAAATAACGCAATCAATGTTATAATAAAATCTTTTTGAATGCTACAAATTTGTTTTACTCCCGACCAGATCTTCGTAATGAAACATTTTATTTAATTTTGATTACATGTAATGTAGGGGTGATCGGTACATAATATTATTATTCCTATTGCTAAATTCATAACATAAAAAGGCAATGATTGCAGAAAAGCCACTTACAAATGTTTTTGAAAGTTGGTAATTTAGTTAAAGGAATTAATGACCAGTTTTGTGTATGAAAGTGTTTTAAATATTCTAGCGAGTTTATGAAAGTATCCAGACACTTCTTGGTAAATTAATTATAGGTTTAACTAGAAAATATTTTCAACTATTTAGAATGGAACTGTTTTATGTAATTTACCGTCTCAAACAGAAATTGTGTATAATATATTTAATCTTACGATAGGTCTCGTTTTAATTTTTTTCAACTAAAAGCTATAGCCTGATGTAAACTGCCTGTTCCATAAAAACTGGATTTAAATTAGTTTGCTACAAGTAGTTGTTAGTCGTCAAAGCAAGTTCATTTTGTTAAGACTATTCTACCTCAAAGCCATCTCTGTTGGATTCTAAGTAATTTCATGACTTGGATTAAACCATCATTTCTGCAGACAATTGCATTTGAATTACTTTTGCTGAATTTGAAATTAAAATTTATGTCTTAGTTTACTCACCAACAACAACAATAAGAATAAAAAATATGTAAACATTTATTCAAAACTTCTTGTTACGACAAGATTCGATTTGTACAAAACATGATACTAATACACACATAAATATTCTCTGATCACAGATTTTGCGTCTTAGTAATATTACTATGATCAATAAATTTTTCGATGAGATTTTTATAAGGAATGTTGGAATTTTTTTTCAAACAACAGATATTAACTGAAACGTTTGGTGGTAAATGAAAACAGACTTCATCCAAATAAGTGTTGACCTTTTAGCATTTTTATTCAAACTAAAAGAATGAGATTTGATTGGGATTATTTGTTCTTCTTATGGTCGATAAGCACTGAGAGTCGTCATTGTGTACCTGAAGTATCATTATTAGGATTCATCAACGGTTTCAACAACAGAATCTAATGATGCACCTTTTCGAATAACTATTACTTGTTGGGCTGTGTTTTTACGCACGATTATATAACAAATTATAGTCGTTTGTTAGTAAAATCGGTCATTATGTATCATGATGCACATCTGTAGTTTTGTTGATCTAGGCAGACTAAGGTCATCCAATACACCTTCTTCGGTACTCCGAGGAACTCGACTCGGTAAGGTAAGTAAAAGTTGACCACGACCGTTTATTCCAAGGCCACTAAGACGAAAATTTTACGAAGCTATGCATAATATTTCACATCGTTGAATTAAGGCCACGATCAGTCTAATCAGCTAGCGTTTTGTATGGCCAGATATGAACCAGAGTGCAACTAGATGCAAGCTTGTACAAAATTCCAGAAAGCTAAAGTTCGGTGTCATACTAGTTCCGCAATAGATCCTTTCTGTCACACGGACAGCAGATTTGAACAAATACATATTGATATTGTGGGACCACTGTTGATTTCAAATGGCTTCGGTTATGTCTTTACCTGTACCGACAGACTCACGAGATGGCCTGTAGCTGTGCTCATAAAAGAAACTTCAGCTGAAACGATGTCCACCACCTTAGTAAAGCATTGGATCACATATTATGGAGCGTCTGCTAATATTACAACAGACAGAGGAGGTCGATTCGAAAGTCGCCTAATTCAACAATTCACAGAACTTCTGGGAATCAAACGTATTCGCACAACGTCCTACCACCTAACGGCAAATCGTTTGATAGAGAGACTACGCCGTCAACTTAAAGCCTCTCTTACAACTATGAACACCAATAGTTGGGCCAACAAGCCACCACTAGTCTACAAATTAATCGTTTATGAGTTCTTCTGACTGGTCCGCTGTTAGTAAAATCAAACTGATTGACATACTTTGTTATACAGCTTGAAGCGATCCCAAATAGGAGAAAAAACAATGTTTGTTGGGTGGTTAGGGCAGTCAGCATTAAGTCTTTGGTCCAGGTTTCGTGTCACTTGGAAATCGTTAGCAAGGCGTTCCTATAGTTTCGTAGGTAACGATTCTCTACATCAATCAAAGACGTGGTATTGTTCACTTGTCAGTGATCAACCAACCTACGTTAACATTTGCTAAGAAGGATTATTACCTCTGAACGACTTAAAACGTTAGATAAAGCTTTGGATAGTCCACAGCTAATATAACAAAATGATAATGTTTAAGTGCTAGATCACTTACTGGGCATGAGTCGCTAATAAAAAACTTAGGTAACCCGTATTGATTCAAAGGAAGTTATTCTCCTATATTAGTGAGTGAGTTATTCTCTACATTTATCAAATGATAGTTTAAAAATTCTAAACTTCATTCCTGTTAACGTACCATATGCTTTCAAAATGAACCTGTAAATTTACTTTTGAATATATACTTATTCTTCTATTAGTATTTACGAAATTCATATTACCTGGTTAATACAAAGAATTATGACGAGAACACAAAAGTGATATATATGTAGTGAAATGAAAGGACGAAAATTTCCAGAACTATGCGTTTTATCAGAGCGCAAGAAACTGACCGCATATAAAATCATAGGACACATTCAAAAAGATTAACCTAGGCACACTGGAAGATGGAAAAAACAAAGAATAATAAAGGACAACTCTATTGACTTCACCCATGACGTTACCAACGGGAATCAATGTTTTCTGAGTAGGTTCGATTTAAGTTAGAACTGTTTTCAAATATTAGGGGTATCGGATTTTTGTTTTATGGAAACTAGCATAATTTTAGTAATTCCTCTCAAATGCTTCCATACAACCTTGTTAAAGATGTCTGTATATCAGTCCAGATCAACACTTCTATTGTTCTTAATGATAAAAGATAGATGTTTACTATTATCTCCTGTGGCGGCTTTAAGATTTTATTTGTTTTTGTGTGTATTTAGTAATAGAGGATATTTATAGGTCACTAATGTTCAATGATCAGTGTCTTCAAAGCATTTCTCGTATATCCTGGGACCACCTGATAAAAAGTGCTGGTATTAGGAAAAGGGTACTAGGTAAGGATGGTAGATCAGTTAATGAAGTAGCGAATCTTCATCGATTGAGGTGGTTGGGGCATGTGTTACATATCCCTAATCACCGACTACCTGGACGAGCGGTGTTTTGTGATGTAGGGGTAGGTTGGAAGAAAGCTACGGATGGCCAAATCAAAACATGTCACAAATCCATGAGGTCACTGATAACTGAAATGAGCCATGTCAGTAGGTGTAGACTATGTGGTTGATGTCCGTAAGACAATAGCAACCGGTGGTTAGAGACTTTAAATGACATGGCTCGAAGTCGCTTTCGTTGGCGCAGATGCATCCATTCTTATTCTTCTCCTTAATTCCGATCTGAATTCCTAATGACCCTTTTTCCTAGCTTTATAAAAATTTATTTCACTGGATTACTTCATGAATCGTACTAATGCTATTTACAAATCTCTTCATCTCCTGTTTAGCAATATATCTCGTCACCAACAGGACCAATCCTCTCAAATTTTTCTGAACAGATGTTTCTTTATTCATTTATTAAAATAATTTCATATTATTGCAAGTATTTGTCTCCGATTATACCGTCCGTAAGTCGGTATTCTATGGTACTTTTAAATGACTCCATCAATGTATAAAAATATGCTATAGAACATAGTAATTCACATAATTAATTAGACTATCCTTGACAAAGGAAAATGGTCAAGAACCTGTAGTACAATAACTCTTATTTTACAATATTTAAACGAAAGGTAATTTAAACGTTATCACTGTATACAAGTTATGTCAATGAACATATTAGAGGATGAACAGATTAGTGAGAAAAGAATATTGAAAACGGCAGCTATTCAAAGGTTTAAGGAAGTTTGTTTGAATGTATTCGTGATTTTAAAACAGCTACTCAGTTAATAATGTTTTAAAAGTTATAATTGTAGTCAGGATAAAGCCAGTCTTAACACTATCACTGAGATGGTGGAGAAAACTTGTAGCTCAGGTGCATGATTATGGTGGTGTTTCGTTCTCTGAGCTGGTTGTTTTGGAGCTTTCATTGTTCTTCTGAACAACATCATCAGCACAAACTTCAAATAGAAGTGCAGCAAACAACGACAGGTCAAAAGTCAACAGCAACCAATCAAGATCGAGGTTAGCAGAACAAGCTACAGGTCAAACGTGGAGAAATTCGAATGCTTCACTTCTATCTGAAGTTTGTGCTGATGATGTTGTTCAGAAGAACAATGAAAGCTCCACAACCAAAACAACCAGCTCAGAGAACGAAACACCACCATAACACTGTCATATTTAGTTTTCTATCTAAGTGATTTTCTCAGGAACTAAAATCAGTTTGATCAGCTGAGTCAGTCTTTACCACTCGTGAATTACTTAACTATGTTTGTACATTTGGCAGTAGTTTTAGCCAATATTCGTAGATAATCCTATGATTATAATACTGAAATCGGTTTTCGCCGAGTACATGTATTAGTTATAAGTTAATTTTTAAGTCGAAGAAATAGTACGTTAACATAGCAGTCGGTCTTCATCAAAATGGCAATAAAATGTACTGCGTCATCATTATCTGCTTCTGAATAAATCTTAGTTTTATATTCATACTGATTATGCTAAATCCTTCAAGGTTACTCGTTGCCTGATGAAGACTGATATTTACTTCAGATATCCAGAACTGAATCACTTCAAGTAGTACAACATTGCAGCTACATCATTTATTTCATAGTTTCATCCATAAAGAAATTCTGGTACCCAAAGATAACATCCGGTTTACTTTTTATGTCCTTATGTTCTGCAAGAACCTGTGAATTATTCACATTTGAATTTCTGTAAGTCATCTTCAATCAGATGGTCAAGTCCGAGTGTTAGGAGACACATTTCGACGTGAACCTACAAGAGGATCAAACTAATATTGCTCTGAACCAGCTAAAAATATATTAATTATGTCT